ACGCGCGCACGTAGCGTGCTCTTGAACGTGTCGCGCCGACCGTCGGAACGTCGTTTCTGAACGGAAAACGCCCAGTGTCGGACCATGCAACAACGAGCTTCCATCTCGCTGACCTGCGTCCGACGCGAAGAGGGGCCCGGACGTCCGGAAAAGAACACCAGCTGGGCGTGCCTTGACTTCCGACTCGTGTGGAGGACTCCAGCTTTGCGTGAGATGGGAACCCAGGAATGGCTCCGACTCAGTTTGTGAGGCACGCGGGAGGACCGATTTCGGCCCACGAGAGAGAAGACGTGTGGACCGGAGGGATTGAGACCCTCACCGTCACCGCGAAGGAAGCATCGGCGATCGTTCTGGACGGATTCCCCCAAAATCGTACCCGGCGTATTCGGCGTGAAAGGATCAGCTGCGACATTGATAGTTGGAACATGTTGGAACTCAGCCAAATATTAGAAGCGACCCTACCGTGATTGTCAGTCACACATGCTAAGGCGGCCAACGCTCCTTTTTCATTATTTTTTTCGATGTCAGTGTGAGTTTATTTCTCTTTCCATGCTAACATGCGCTCAGCTCAACAGCTGCGATGTCTGGGGAACCTTCACCTCAACAGCTCAACAGCTCTTCGAGACTTCGGCCTTGACCTCGACCAGACCGACCGGGTCGAAGTAACGCTCAGACGTGGCAGGCGACTTGGTGCGATATGAAGCGTCTCAAGTCCCAGGTCCGGTTTTCTTGGAGGTTGCAACGGAGCAAGATTCCAATGGATGTCATTCACACTGTTGTCCTTATGATGTAGGGAATTGTGAACAGACTTGCAGTCCACAGTTTCCATGGTAGTCAGCGCATGACATCATGGTCTCTTAATCTGGCTGTAATATGCTGTAATGCCTTGAGTTTGGCTGTGTCAAGACTGAGTCAAGACTGATCCTTGTTTCCAGACTGACACATTCCATGCTTCTGATGTGGGGTTGATCTCTACAGGTCAAGGCTGAAAATAACTCCTTGCTCAGGTGGAAAGCGACTCCCGCAGCACAGGGCGCTGAAAGCTGTGGTGCTGTGATGCTGGAGGCCTGCCCAGGTGCAGGCCTACATACCTAAATAGTGGTGGAAGAAGTGAGGAACAGCTGAAGTCTGAGGCGAAATGGCCCAATCTCCTGCTTTTGGTTCACTGATTTCCTGGTGGCCCATGGCTGAGGGGGTGGCTAAATGTGCATCTGCAACACGGTAACTCAAGCACGGCCCTGGTTGGAACAAGTCCTTTGGGAGATATCTGACTTCGGAGAAACAGCCCGGCAGGCAGGGTGAGCTTGTAAGTCTCACCCGGCGTTGGAGACCCACGGTTCCACTGGATGGCGACCTGAAAAGAAGACGCTCTTCCGATAACAACCCAGTGGTTTTTGCCCAGGTTCCATATGGACCTCTTCCGCGTAATCTCTTCCAGCTGTCGGAGACTCCATTGACCAAGCCCTTCAAAAGACCTAGCCATTTCCTCGCTGCACTTCCACCTCGGCGGCGTTCCGCTCGTAAGGTGGCACCGATCAAGAATCGGTGGGTTTTCTAAAAACTGTTTGAGGATCTGATCTGGTGGCATATGCTGAACGTTCGGTGCTACCGCGTGCGCGTGATGCGCAACTTGATGGTTTAATGCAAATGCCAGCTCGCGTGTTTTGCAAGCACGCGATACAGGCATATTGACGACAAATGTTCGCAATGGTCATTGCATTGCTCACGATGGAATGTTCAAATGGCCATATAGAGGACATGTCGGGACGCGAGAGGGGTGCATCGATTGTTGTTGTTATTTTTTTTGCAACGATGACTGGAGAGCTCTTATGACACGACGGCTTTTGTGACGCGAATGTGCAATTTTCTGCCCAATCTCAGTGCCTGACAGTGTGGGGGAGAAGACGAATCTTCTGACGATGCATGGGAGAGGATCGTAGCATTGAATCAGCTGATACGTGCCCCTTTTCACCATAGTTCTGGGGTGTAGAACATGAAACCACCCAAAACGTCTGCCCGGTAATGGGCTGTACAGTCTTCGTCTCTCCATTTCCCGTCCTCTAACTCTGCCGATTTTTTGGTCGTCCTCAGACTGTATGCGGAGCAGCAACAGCCAGCAAAGCCTGTGAAGTGCTCCCTCACAAGCTTGAGCTGCAACTTCAAGCGCACAGGCAGCCAGGCTCCTCGCGCTTTCGAACGCCCTAGAGAAGAGTCTTTTGTGGCTTCGTGGCTTACTGAAGAGAAGACTAGAGCATGGGGAAGAGAATCTTGAAATCAGAAGAGAGTAAATACGAGTCCACAAATGTCGACCCAGTAAATGGAAGGGTGCGGGTGTGGGTCATGGTAGCGTTAGCCAGAGGGACTCTGACCGCAGGTGGGGTTCGTCCGAGCCAGATCCGATATCGCAGGCCTCTGCCTCTGTTTCTCAAGGCAAGACCGATTGGTACAGCTAGGTCGTAGGACACTTGTACCCCTTGGGCCGCCGGCTGTTCAAGATTATTGCGGAAAAATCAGAAAGTAAGGAAGCGGTGCTGACTTTTTCCCTCGTTTGAATTAGACATTTCAAGACACTTCTGCACGTCCGATTCTGGTCAATACTTCAAGAGGCCTATATGTTGCAAGGGGATCAAGAGGGGGACTTTCAGAGGCCCTAAAATAAAAGGGGTATCATTTTGCCTGGTGCGAAACTGTTCTGCAAGATCGGAGCAGTTTGCACGCCCGGAGCAGTTTGCACGCCTGGAGCAGCGTCTGTGATAACTCCTCGGCAGATGCTGAACTCCAAGTGTGTTGGTGCTGGCAGCAGTGCTTGAGATCAATACTGAGTTCCTGCCATATTAGTTTGGGCCTCGATTGCAGAGAGCCATAGGTGTGGGTTGCATTGTCATTTGGACCTAGGGTTAGTATATGTGGCTATCCAAAGGTCCACATGGTTTTGAGGGGATTCCTGAGCATCCGAAAGCCTCCTAGTTGGTATATCTGGGGATTGGTCAAAACCTGGAGTGTGAAGCTCCATCCGTGTTTGGATGCACACGCTTTCTAGTATGCTGAAACGTGTTGCCTGGATTCAGTACAAGCCGTATTCCGTTCGAGTTGAGCTCAATGGAATTCTCATATGTAAAGGCCCGAATACGAGAGCCAAGCTGTAGCATGTAACCTTAATTTTTGGCAAGTGCTTTCGTTTGCATTGTATACGGCTGATAACTTTCAGATCAGCACGGGAAAGGATGGATCCTCCTATTGTAAGTCACTTGAAGAGATCCACAGATCAGATCCATTTACCAGAGTTAGGAATCAGAAAATTTCTTATTTCGATCGACTTTGGTTCAAGGGGAAAGGAGCGTGCGCGAGTATAGATGCTCTTCGTGAAGGCCCAACACCATATGGCCTGACCTTCCACGTGGGTCAACCAAGGTAACCTGGTTTTGACTTACAGCCACATACAGAGTTCCTGCACTGCTGATGCTCCGCCGCTTCGAATGCTAGGCGTCAATAGGAAGCCACTTGCTGTAGCTGTGGAGCAGCCACAGCGTTGCTTTTGCCGTCGACCCGAGGCAAAAGACTCGACGTCACCTGGGACGTTGGGAAGAGCAACCCTGAATGGGTTCGCGCCCAGATTTGGCTCTTCAATTTTGAACAGTTTTTCTCACCAGTTTTGAGCTGTTGTTTCCTTGGCAATCAGTGTCCCCGAGTGACATGTGGCCTGCTGGTACAGGGCAGGTTCCCCGGGTCCCAAGTGTAGACTCCGCCTCATGTCGTTGTCCTCACAGACGTTTTTGTTGACGTCATTGAGGTCCATCTTTTGCCGTTTGTCTGGGAGGTCTTACTGATTGCTGAGTACTTTGGATGATTCTGGACGTATTTTTGTCGAGTCATGGACAGGGCGTCTTGGATTTGGAGTGGACCCTTCGTTTTATATATATACATTTATTGAAAGGCCAGGGTGCAACTCATCAAATTATGGACCGCGTCCGTTGCATGTTCTTCCGCGACATATGCGATGGCCAGTTTTTCGGCCCCCCTCTTTTGAGACCCTGCAAAAACAACAACGCTTTCAGATCAGCCACTTGGGCCCGGCACGCGCCGGCGATGCGAAGCAATCATCGTGACCTGCCGGAAAATTAATGTTGGTCTCGCACGCACGGCTGGGGCTCGGAAGGGAAAACACATGTTTTTTCGGGTCCAATGGCGAGGCCAATTGCAGGCTTGGAATAGACTCTCGATTGGTGAAGTTACGTGAAGAAGAGAGTGCTTCCTCCCAGTTCTGTGCGCCTTTCGATGTCTAGTTAGTTTTGATTTTGAAGTGAGCTTTGCACGTGCAATTCTTCAGAAGCAGGCAGACCGCGTTCAGCAGGTGGCCCTCGCTACCTTGCATTGAAGCCCCATGAGCATCGTCGGCAACTCATCAACAACATAGCAACCATGTTTTGTTTGGATTGTAGCTCAAGAGGACAGACTGAGATGTAGTCCGTCGTGAAGAAGATGTCTACAAGCTCATGGCTAAATTCAGACCCTTGCTAAAGCTTGCTCATTTGATTTCAAAAGGTGCGCTCGCTCAGCAGGGGCCTTCATAGAGTGGCTGACCTAAACGTTTCTACAGACATCTCCACAGCAGGCTTGCCATGGTTTCAATGAAATTATCGCCATTCTCCAGGAATTTCACGTGGGCCTTGCGTAGATTCACCAGCGGCGGGGCATTCGTCGGGCTCTTGCCAATAAATAAAGAGATGTGAAGATCAACGGCCGGGCCTTCCTGTCCGCCCTGGATCAAATCCCCCCGGCACGGCCCCTAGAATAGTGCTGATGATTTACTATTGGACTGCTCCCAGGGGCTCAGCTCTGGCATAGCCTCAGGATGCCTCAGGAGGGAATACGTTTTTTGCCAAAGAAACAGGTCAACGATGTCCGTTTTCCGTGCACGGAAACCGTGCACGAAACCGCGCACGGACCGCTACCCGAAACCGGTCGACAGCAACGACCCAGCGACCGGACGACCGGACGAGGTGTGCTTGCAGCTGTGCGTGGCCATGTCCCGATGCCTCGCAGCAGAGCGGAAGGCACTCGCCCTCGGTTTTTTTCGGTTCAGTGGGGAGGCAGGGCAGGGCAGGGTGGGGTGGGGTGGGAGAAGGGTTCCTTTCTAGCTTTAGTGTCTTGCTGGGATAGAAGGTCTTGGGGGTTCGTGCACAGACTGTGTTGACTGGTTTTTGTGTGATGATCCTTGTGCCCTAGTCAATTCCATCCCCCAAAGATTCTGGAATGGCCAAAATACACTGAGGGTGGGTCTCCCCACTTATATATCTCCCTTCTACTTTGGTGTCTTACTTATGGTGTCAAAGGCAGTGTCTTGTCAAAGGGAGGCCTTGAAGGCCTTCAAGCCAGCATTTTTGCCGCCGCGGGTTGAGGATGAGAAGCCTTCACGAGCCGGGGCGCCCCATCAAACGCGCCCGTTGTGGCGCTTGCGCCTCCAACAGCGGGTCCAACATGAAGTGTGTTTCAGCTGTTTCCGTTTTGGCCGCCAGTGCAATGCTGATGAGATGGATGAGGTGTGCTGTGACGTCAGGCTTCAAGTAGTAAGCGTGCTGTTGAGGGCTGTCTCAAACACGATCGAGAGGTCTCCTGCTTGAACGACGGCTGTGACGATCTGGTGGTATACAGAAGACCTCAACGCACAGCCCAGTACAATCATTTTAGGGTGGTCAAATGCGTGGCACAACAATGGGGGCTTGCCATGAAGTCTTTGTTCTTGCTGAGAAGAGGCCAGGCACATCAGAATGGAGTCGGTCCACCGACTGGTCCAAGATGCCGGAAAGACCAGCGAAAAACGACCAACTCAATGGAGTGACAGTGACCCCAAAGAGACACCAGTTGACATCCGAGGTGTCTGGTGACGTCTCTTGGTTTCCTTTTGGAGATGCGTAGGGTCTTCAGATTTAACAAAGGTGTTACTGTTACTCCGCCGCCCGTCATTCGTACTTACTCCGCCATCCATCCTCATACTCCGTCCTTTGTCCTCTGTCCTCCTCCTGCCATGTCGTCATGTCACAGTGAGTGCACCATAAAGAGTGCCAGCTCAGTCTGGGCACGCACGGACCTGCAGTCCAGATAAAATGCCAGGAAGGATGTCAGAGGATATGCCAGACATATGCCAGTTGGAGTACCAGATAGAACGCCAGGAAGAATGTCAGAAGAGATGCAAGATCCAGAATATGCCAGGTAAAATGTCAGAAGATACTTGTATGCTAGAAAGAATGGCAGCAGACATGCCGTTCCACACGGACCGAGCGTAGAACCATGCCCTGACGAACCATGGTGCTGTCGTCCTGACCGGGTCCAGAACAGCCCCGGCCGCACCACCGACTACTCGAAGACCGGCACGTCGTAGCCGCCTCTGGCTCCGCCTGCGCTGCCACGGCCCTCGAGGCTGTTCCTGAGGTGGATCCTGTGAATCCCACCATCCTTGGGGTCGCCAGGACCACGGCTCATTCCACGACCGAGCCTCTCGGTAGTCGTGGTACATCGGCCATCCATCATTGGCGTGTCGTCCGCAGCTTCCTGGTGTAGGCCATCCCCAGCTAGCTTCCTGCCATCCGGACGCATCTAGCTAGAATGTCGTAAGCTGTTCTAGCTGCGAGACAGAATGCCAGAAGATATGCCAGAAAGGATGTCAGAAGGTATGCCAGTCAGAACATTGGCCGGAGCAAGTGGCAGGTTTGATGGCAGAACAAAAGTCGGTGTCAGAGCACATACCGGACGTGATGCCAGACATAGTGTCAGAACATAGTATCAATGCGCATGTCAGGCAACCTTTGTCAGGATAGTCTGTCAATACATGTGCCCTGCTTTCTTCCAAGTCGCCTTGAGGGTGGGGATCACTCCAAGTAACATCTTTGCCAAAGAAAGGTTGGAACAAATGGAGGATGCCCCACCTGCTAGGCAACCCATCCAATTTCACATCCAACGACTCTGGCGTGGCGCCATGGCGACGCCCTCCTTCTCTACGCCATTGAGTCGAGAGAGCCCCGGAACAACATGCGTTTGGAAGGGTGGGCGCAAGTGCCGGGAACTGCAAGGTCCACCCAGCAAACATCCAAAGTTAACAGTCCAGTTTTAGTGGTTGAACTGTTCTATCCTGGAAGGGAAGGGGCCACTTGTGACTGCGCGAGAGGCAAAATTGCACTTTGATCTCATCCGGTCCCGGAGTGTATCATGAGACCCTGAAATGAAGATTGTGCCCTTGAAACTGTTTTGCTTGGGGCTTGCTTTTCCGTTTCAGTGGGTTGTTTCACGCAGACGGTCCAGAAACTACTCACACAGGCTTAGCAGTCCTGTTGGCAACGAGCAATCTGCAACAAGAATGCGAAGGTCCCTTACAATGTTCACAAGCCGCGAGAAGGGGATTTATATGAGGACCCTCCACACTGAAGTTATTGTTGCTCAAGGTTTAGCAGCCACAGCATTGTTTTGGCGTCGCAGAATCACTTACTTGGTCCAGTGCGATCCCAATTGCTGCAGTACAGAAACCCACGCAAAGAAATGGCATTGCCACCGTTTGGAAGCAGCCCCTGATACAACGCTATAGAAGACTGCATCAAAGACACGGCCTTTCCCCCGCTAGATCCCCACCCGTTAATAAGTTCTTAGATCCCATGTGGGGTGAGCGGGGCCACTCTTGTAAATAGCAGGGATAGCAGGGCCACACACGGGCTACAATCACCAAAGGCGGGGCGTGCTGTAGATAACACGACTTGCGGGGCCGCACGCTGGAATACACAAGTGTCAGGGCCACAGGTGGGGCCATCTGGGTTTGGCGGCCATAGGTGGCGCCGCCCGTAAATACCCAGAGGCTTGTCCATCCCAGTAAATGCTACGACCTGGGCACCATGAGCGGGGCCATCAACGCATGCAAAGGCCTGGCAACCTGCAACGTCATTGCCATTGCAGCTGCCATTGTCATGTGCAACGAAGGGCCCAATTCTTCACCACAAAAACCACATCAAAAAAACTTGACAACTTGTCATAGTTTGCCGACCGAAGTCGTGTGAGTCGGACATAGTCGGCCCCTTCAAAATGGATCAAATGACTCGTGGCCAAAAGGTTCGACTCAAGGGTCCATTTTTCAACGTGCACATATCGCTGTTCAACGGGCACGTCCCTCGTCCGACCCAAAGGGGCAGGCAGCATCATGATGTTAGTAAAATAGGACTTGTGCCCATGGTATTCCGGGAATCCATGGAATCGTCTAAGCCACGGTGTGGAACCCCCGGTCCTGAAGGGGCGCCACGTCCGTGCCCCGACCGAGGGAACCCCCGGTTTTCACGGGGAATGGCTCGGTGGTCGGTGGTTGAAGGCGAGGCAACGTGAGGCAGCGAATCGGGCCGGCCGACCTTGTCTGCGTGAGGCGATACTGGGGCAAGATGATTTGGTGGGTGGCCAGCGACCTTGGGATTGACACTGTGCCATGCATGAATTGGCAGGAAGGAGGAGTGGGATCAACCCACATGAACATGGTAAAACTCACTTGGATGACTTGAACATCCCATGATGCTTTGGGAACATTTGGGAACTAGGTTTGATGTCCGCTACCATGGACCCACACTTTGCACACCTGGCAAGATGAGGTGCTTGCGATGCCAAATCTTGGAAGGTCCATAAGCTGCAGCTTCAGTCGACACACACTTCACACTACGGGTCGATGTTCTCCACCTTCGAAATCATGAGGAGACCTTTGTGAATTTCAGGGGTAGGTCAAAAGGGTTGACCACAGCCAATGGTGATTTCACTCTGCGCCGTTTCGTTCCCAAACATAGAGTGATGGTGTCCTAGCCCCACCGACGGTCGAAGAGATAGAGAAAAAGAGACCCGATCTCGGACACTGATGAATTTTAGATCGCCTTGTGTTCATGCCCTTTGGAGGTCACCACCGCGAGTGGAGCTTTCTTCTTCCAGCGCTTTTGTTTGGCTGAGCGGGAAGGCGCCGTAGCAAAAGCTTGAAGCTTCTGGCTGGTTGGTGGGCTGGGGAGTGAATTTTTGAAGTCTCAGTCTCAGGTGATTCGAAGATGATTATTTCTCAACCTAGTGGGGTAGGTCCCACGCAGATATAGACGACCAACATTCTGAATATTCGTTAACTTTTGGATAGACTATCGCAGCTTCGCGCATCAGACTGGGCAACGAAAAGATCCAACACCCTCTGGGGATGGTTGACCGGTGTTGGATCAACATCGTCATCGGCTTCGCAGTACTATCATCGGCTTCACAGTGTCATGTCCTCTCATGGTTCTCCGTGCCCCGTGTGAGGAGCTTCCGAGATACACAAATGGGAACAAGAACCTAGCTTCCAAGATTCCGGCTCGCATTTTGGAGTTGAATGTCAATGATGGTTCTGTGATGTGCGAGTTCTGGTCACGAAAGGTAGCCCTTCAGGGGATACCTTGAGTTTGTCTTGCGAAGCAAGTGTGGGCTCCTCCGGATCAATAATCATCCCGAAGTGGATCACCTCGATGGTTATTTGGTGTTGAGCACTCTCAGCTTGGGGCAGTTTTTGAGTCCATGAAGAGACATGACATGTTGTTTTTAGTGCTTCTTGTCGTTGAGGATTAATATATAGATAGATATATATATATATATTTCAAACTTTGGTCTTTTCCCTCACTCTTAAGTTGACCTTTGACTGACTCCACCAACACCACACTGCATATTTTACATGTTTCTATTCTCCTCCCGCTGTCCTACCTTTCGTGTATCCCTCTTCTCAAGTTGAAGTTGCCTCGCTTTTGAACCTTTGCTGTCATGAGTTGTCGTCTCGCTAGCACCAAACCGCAATTTCAGAAGAAACACCTTGAAATTGTGCATTCCAGTTGCCAGGACTTCATGTAAAGCCAGCTTCCTCTAGGTCAATCCCCCAAGGATCCAAGAACTGCAGCACGACTTCCGCGTTCGGCCGTTCCGAACGAAAAGACCACCCCATCTTCCGACCGTGACTCCTTCTCCGACTCCTTCCGGACGGAAAAACCCGGCCAGGCGACGTGGATCATCACCGCTTGGCCATGGCTAGCCTTTGGCTGGCCACCAAAGCACCTGGATGGCAGACCGTTCGCAAACTCGGTGCGGCAAACATCGGTGTTCTGTCTTTTTCTCCTGGCATCCGCCACCATGGAGGAGTGAGGTGGCCGGTTTGGAGGGGATGGAGGTCCGTCAGCGCGATGCGGGTTTGGAAGACCGAGACATCGAGAAGGAGAGGAAGACCGGTTTCGCCTTCCGAGGTCAGGGAAGCTTCTTGCCGACTTCGAGACATCGTCAATGGTTTCGAGGCACGGTCGTGGGGCCAGGAGTTGAGGATCTTGGAGTTGAGGATCTTGGGGCCAGCAACTGGCTAGTGGTCGACAAGCAGATTTCAAGAGTTTGGGGGGATTTGTTCTCGTCACTGCCTTTTGCCCACAGTGTCTATGTGGACGAAAGAAGTTTCAGTTTGGGCGCCTGTCAGATCTTCCTGCAGAAAGCTGATGAGAAGGGTATGCCCATGGAAGCCTGATGCTCAAAGACGTGAGACAGTGCGGCTGGATCTTACAAAACCTCGCGAATGGAAACGACCATAATAACTTTTAAATAGCCATCCGACTGGACGGAGTGGATTGGACATTTCTGCCACGTTCCCTTCTAGAAAAGCTCATGTTTGCTGGCACTCCGAAGCCAGCGCGCAGTCTCGGCGTCGGAGGGTCTGGTGTAGGGTCTGTTCGCCAGGCGTATTGGTCTCTCAGAGATGAAGTGGTGGTGCACGAGCAAGTGGGACACCAAGTGGGGATGCAGGAGAGTTCAAGTCCAGACTTTCTGGTGTTTGGCACCTGTTTCAACCGTTTGGCGCGTGGGAGACGGGAGACGGGATGTCTCCGTCGCCGGTCGAGGTCCTACTTCGCGGCCTGGGATTCGATGTGGAGCTGACCTCCGCCTATGCCGGGTCCACGGACACCAGGGCGCTACTGTACCCGGTTAGTGGCCAGGGTTGGTGGCCAGGGTTGGAAGGTGCCAGGCGTGGCAACACCTAAAAGCCTGGAATGCTTTTCGGAGTCAAAGCGGAGAGCGTGCCAGGTTTCCCTTTGTTTCCCTTCCATGCTCAGTTATTATACAAGAGGAAGGCTATTTCACTTCAGATTGGCCATGAAACCAGGCTTCCCTCACAGAGTCGGCCTCTCAGCAAGGGCACAATCGGTCGATTTTGTCGTTGTCTCGAACTGGGGCAGAGAACCAGGGCCAGTCTCTTGAAATCTCTCCACACTCATGGAGCCACACCATGGTGTTTCTTGTCATGTGGCACCGAGGTTTGCCTGGATGTTAGGCAGTTGCGAAGGTGGTGTCCTCCAGCCCGGCCCCTGGTCCAACCCAATCCATTCGCTGAAATGAGAAACGAGTGGGCGAAACCGGGCGGGGCTCGAGGCTGGCCTGGACGCTTCTGAATGATGCCTTTCGATGTGCCTGGGCCGATAGACCTGGGCGAGATGAGGACATTGGAATCACGCTTGACGTGGCCGGACCATAGGGACCTGCGCAACCCGAAAAAGACCCACCAGTCGCACACAGGTCAGCAGCCGGGGGAACGGGGGGGAAACTCAACTTGAATCTCTTCGACCTTTGATTAAAGACACGTTGGTTCGAGTTTTTGTCACACCTCATGACCTCATGTGTTCCTTTTTCTCAGCTGCCTCGGACCAGGTGAGCTTTGCGCCATGGCCTCTCCCGATCGCTTGGCCCTGGCAGCTCTACTCCTGAGCGTCGAGATGAGCCGCCGGGTGCGAGCCCAATGGGGCTCTCCTGGGCACGTGCCACGGGCGGGGTCCTCTCCTTCTTGCGCCCGGTGTTTGTACAAGGGAGAATGTGTTCGGAGTAAGGGGGAGAAAGTTTCTGGGGCTCTGTATTGGGAAACATCACACGCCAGTGACCAGTTGAAGTGATGTGGCACAGGGCAAAGTCTTTCAATGGACTTGCTAGACTTGCTAGATCTAGTATCTAGTAGACTCTGGGCAGAGTATCAACAAAGTAGACTTTGTGTCTTGAAACTCCTGGTTGGGGATCTCCCAACGTTGACGTTGAATGGACCAGGTGGGGCACAAACCAAGATGTTGATGTCTGGACTGCCTGGCTTTGGGTCTGAACGGCCCCTTGATTTGATCGATTCTCATGTCAAATCATTTCGGCCACGGATGGGGCCACCCATGGCCCTCAGCGATAGAAGTTCCCCGGCACTGCTAGCGACTGGAAGAATTCACCGATGAAGTTTGCCGAATGATTCTGGTCCCAGCACTGAGATAGCTTTAGGATAACAAATCCAACAAAGCTGCCGCCCATGTTCCCTACAAGCGCTCCATGTTCACTGCAAACTGCTCGTTTTGGTTTCGCAGCGCAATCCTTGCAGTCCCCACCAACCGACGTTTTGTGCCACCAAACAAGAACCCTGCAGTCCGTCGCTCGCACGCCCCGTCCAACCCACGCGTGGCCCGGTGCTCTTGGCCCCGGTGCACGTAAAACAGCTGCCAGGTGCCCGAGCTGCAACTCCAAGCTCAAGCCTTGGCAGAGAGGCGTTTTTAGATGCGTTTGGGTCGACCGCAGCACGCGGTTGCGGTGGTTCACTGGGGGTCTTATCGGTTCTTCACCCTGTTCATCTCCCCAAAGAGGCGACTTCAGCTGCTTCCAGGAAGTCCAACATCTTCAGCGTCTGCCGGTCTGGTCGGCGTCAACCGGTCTGGTCGAATGAAGCCGAACGCACGAAGACGAGAACGACGCCCAGTTGGCTTCCTCCGATCGACCACCGGGGGGCGATGGGCGGTGCACGTGGGCGGTACCGGGTCAGGTTGGATCACCTGCTCCGTGAGCCGCGCTTGGAAGAGTTCCTGGGGCTGGGCCAGGAAGCCGAAGAGATCGAGGTGCGGGCCGGCCGTTCCCGGCTGCTTTGGCACGGTTCCCGCGTGGGGTCCATGGGGGCTGGTGTTTCTCGTCGTCGAGCGGGGCTGGTGCACGGGCAGTTTCGTGGGGCCGTGCTGTGTGCTATGAATCCACTCTGCATTGCCTCAATCGCAGTGTTGGGAGAAATGGTAAGATGTATCCATGCTTGCCATCGCCGAAAGTTGCGATGGTGAGGCAACAAGCATCTGAGAGAGATCACGCGAGTCGTTTGAACACCTTCACGGTCCTGCTTTCATCAGTTCCGTGCAAGACGATTCGCAAACAACGCTCTTTGCGGTAGCAAAAAGGTTTGAACCATCACAGCAGCTGGTTTTAGAGTGTCTTCGAGTCATTACAGATTCCGGCCTAATTGAGGAAATCGATTTTCTCCCCAACTTTGGCTCTCCTCAGAAGCAATGCCAGGACATTTGTCGAGACCTGCTTGCTGTGTACCAGGAGGCGCACAAAGAAGGCCGGCCGCCTGGCCGCCGAAAGATGCGTCGCAGTGTCTCGGGGATGTGCTGTCTACCAGTCCATTTGAGATTCCCCAACCAATGGAGACCTCTAACAAGGAGACTTCTCCACCTGGAATGTGTATAGTGTATAGTCCATTTCTCTACCAGGTTTGAAGCGATTCCCTGTGAGACAAAGCCCCCCTTGTTGTTTTGGGTTCGGAGCCTCCAGGCGCAACAATGTCTCTCTGTGGCTTTTGGGTCACCAATCAATGGACCAATTCGGACCGCTGCTCAAGCACCCTCTTCGAGTTGGACACCATTATATACATGAGTCAACTTTCATCGTTTTTTGCACACAAAACGAGGCCGAAAAACAGCGGCAGTTCCACTATGTTCCACTGAACATCTGCAAGACTCGAGGAGTTCAACCCTTTTTTCCGACACCTAACTTGAACGGACTGGGTGAAGCTCCGGACTGGGTGAGGATCCCTCCCGTCAGGCGCCCGGCGTGAGGCTGTGCCGCTGCCTGGAAATCCAAAAAGGTGCCTTTTGGCGGTGGAGCAGGTGCCTTTAAAAACCACTGGAAAACCAGGGAACACCTGTCCCCTCTGAAGATTATTGGGTAGCCATTTGTCCAGTTCACGTAAATATCAAATAGAGCTACCAGATCGGGGTCTGGCCGCGGGAGTGGACCGGCCGCGGGAGTGACGCTTCCATGACCAACATGTAACGCTCTTTTGGATGATAAGGTGGTTTGGCCATGGCACTCTTTTGGATGTGGAAGCGCGCCACCTTCGATACGACGATCACCTTGCATAGACAGGTGCAAGCCACACAGGCTCCACGGCCGCCCTACCGCTGCGGGTGTTCTTTGCATGTGGTGCCGACGCACGTGGTGCCACGATTGGCTGAGGTGGACTTGCAGCAAGCATTTGTTCGCATGGGTGGATCCCGACACGTGCGAAGCCTCAGCGGTGACAGCAGCCAGATCATACATGGTCAACATATCCCTACAGGTCAAGGACTTCATTTGACTGAAGTTGATCATACAGAAATATTGTTCACTGAAGTAAAGGACTAGCTTTTACTAGGTCTTTGGACCAGTATATAGTTGTTTGTATATGTATGTATGCATGCTGGCATGCATGTCAAGGACTGGCCGTTTGGACAGGTGGAAGGTTCTGCTTTGCACGGTCCGGTCTCTTTCAGTGGACACACCCGGAAGCCCCCGCGGCGGTCGCCCGTCTACGCCGTACGTCACGGGCGACCGACGTGAGTTCATCACCAGGCCTGTCACATGATGATGCTCCGGCTCCACGCCTCGCTCCGAGCTTTTGTGTGAGGTCCGCATGTCAGCGCATGTCAGCGCTACCATGTCAGTGGCATCGCGTTCCAGTTTTGTGCTTCCTTGGTGTCTGAGGATGAGCGGATCGTCGCCCAAGTGGTACAGAACTCGGGCGACATGAACGGACCTGCGGACCTTCTAAGCATGAGATCCTCCAAGATGGCCCTCTAAACCTGGACTTTTTTTCCCAAGGGAAAACGTCCCAAACATCCGTTTTTCGATGTTTTGCTCGATGTGAGTTTGGACCGCGCAGCAGCTCGTGCTGAGATTCGATTGCTTGCAGCCAGTGTTGAGAATGCACCGCTGGCAGCAGAGGTGCCAAGCTTATTGGTTTGGTATTTTACATCGTAACATCCACCCGTCGGGCGGGTCCAGCTCCGAACGCCTGGGACCTGTTGCTTTGTGTAATGTCTTGTTTGTGTGATGTCTTGTGCTTCAACCAAGTGTACACCGCATATGATCAAAAACAAAGAGAGGTTCATTTTTGCTGTGCTTTTGGAGTTCCACTTCCACATTCCTTTTTCTTTCTGTGTTCGCCTGTGATCATCACCATGCTTGGGAAAGGTTGGTAGACCTCCCTCCAGATGCATGGCCTACGACCCGCCAATGCTGCTTTTCAGTAACCTACGACCCACCAGACCAAAGACTGAAGAGACGAATTGATCGTTTCAGTGACTTTTCCGCATGGGTACCAACACTTGTCCTCCGCGGTCCTCCGCGTGTTTCACGCCGAACCCCCCGTTGCCACAGACCCGATGCCCGGCCCGGCCGAGTCGTTCAGGCGTTGATGCGAGACAATTTGGACAACGTGAAACTGGTGATGCGCTCCATGGAACGCCACCTGGCCTGCCGGGGACGTCCCAGAAACCGGATCCTCCCATGCGCGTTAGGACGAACGGGCGGCGCAGCGTTAAACACTTGACGCGACGGCCCGAAAGCGCCCCCGGTGGCAGCTCCGGTGGGTTGCAGCTCCGGGTCGGCTCCACTCCGAGGCCCCGAAGTGGCGGAGGCTGGATGTTTGCTCATCGGCCATCTCTGCTCCTGCACGGCCACGGAGAGTGGTGAGTTGATGCCGGCCGCAGCCTCAGCCGAAGGCGTCAGAGATCGGACGGGGTGAAACACCCGGGGTGAAACACCGCGAGATGGTCCGAGTGAAGGTGGCAGATGATCCATGATGATCCTGGTAGGTGGTTGAAAGGTCCGCAATACAGAGCTACGGTGAGGAATGTTCAGAGTTTTGCTTTGGTGGGAATGAATTGAATTCATCGGGGTTGGTTGGGGGTGGGAACTTCCTGGCCTCTCGCGGAATGAGCCGGTTTGGGTCAGAGGAGCCAGAACATGTCGGATGCTGCAATACACAGCTGGACAGGACAGTCGAGCTTGGTGGTCAGATGGCCTGTGGCAGAGGGCAGGCCAATGGCCAACCTGGGAGAGAACCTGGCTGTTTGTTATGTGTGTCAGGTACGCGTGAAAGCGCATCGGGACAGTCAGAACACACTTTGTCGGGAAGGAGCGTGCAGCACTTAGTAGCAAGGCGGCAACGCTCTGGCAACCCGAAGGGCTTTGGACTTTGGCCAGCTCGTGAAGCGCGGAGCACCCCACAGAAGTTTCCCTGTTTTGAATGTGATCATGAAGAGTCAATTGTGGTAGCATCACATGAAGGCAGCCTTCCTTCGGGCACGCCCAAACAATCCTTGTAGTTGTCTTGCTGAAATCAGTGGATACTCCCCTAGCACAATGTATCGCAGCATATGTCAGCTATGCAGGACCTTATGTCAGCGTGCGCAGACGGAACGCCCTTCGATCCGCCGACGGAACACTCAAGGGTGGAGATCATTGTGGACATCATGTGTCTCTACATGAAGGATGTCGAAGCCTTGAAAGATTTGAAAGTGCTAGCTGTGTGGACCGAATCCATGACCAATGATGTGTTCTTTTCTTTTCTCTCTTGTTCGAATCGCTTGAGAAATATGGGTTTTGGGCAAGATCTCACAGCAGGAATCGGAGCGGACACCCTCTTCTTTAAACAATTAGTTTGCCACTGCCGCGATTTTTTGCTTTGTCGGATATGATATGAGGGTTGCCTGTCAGTGCTAGCTCACAACCATTTAGAGACAAAAGCGAAATGATCCGGAACTCCTGGCCTCTTGCATCCCTTTACCAATTTGCAGTTTGATTTATAAGGTAGACCTACAGTAGTTCAAGGTGAGAGAAGAGTCTAAGAGGTCCGTTGACTTGTCTCTGCAAAGCCTTGTCTCATCAGTTCGGTGGTCCACGTTAGATCGGACCACTCCGATCCAGGTTAGAACCATGACGAACCGTGCTCATATGCTGATGCAGGACGAGTGGACGAGCGGAGTGTGGTCAGAAGTGGGGAGTGGGTTTCGGCTTTCTGAAACACAGCTCCGCTTTTTCTTGAGTTCACACGCACAAGTCCATGCAAATAGCCAGCATACAGATCGAGGGTATCTTCATAAGAAGAGCAATCGCCGACTTCCACGAGGCAGCCACGTAGTTCACCCTTTCACGCGCTTTATCTCAGGGCAGACCTGCTTTAGTCAAACGCCGCTTCAGCTGTGTGAGAATCCTGTGAAATACAGCGATTTCATGTCGAGTTGCTTCGCTGCTCCTCCAGGAAAAGCTCAAAGAAGCCGAAGGGAAGTGCGCGGCTCATGACAGATTTGCTGACAGGATTCCAGGGATGCTGAATTCCTATTCTTTGCTCTATATGTCGCTGTTGGTCCTTTGTCTCGATCACTTTTGGCTCCCACAAAGCGTCGCTTCGCCCTCAAAGACTCGATGCTCCGAATGGCTTTTGTGAGATGCGACCGGTCAACATGGGGCCAAACGGCCTCCGCTTTCCGTGCGGAAGCCGCGGCACCCGACCAGAACGAGGCCAGCCAGGTACGAGGCGAGGTGTTTTGGAACTCCGATCTGCGGTGTACTGCTTTCCCTGCAAAAACGACGGCCATCGACGGACACGGAGCAGCACGCCCCCCAGCAGCACGACCGCCCGGAGCACAGTTCGGCCACCCCGCTCACGGCCCTTGTCGCGACCGGTCTGGTCACGTGATTGAACCGTGGGGACCGTGTAAGACGATGGACCCAAGCTAAAGGTTTTGTTTGTGACGGAAAGTGCATGCTTTTCTTTCCAAATCTTGTAGGTTTGCGGAACCAAATCTTCAAACCATGGGAGGAAACCCGAGACCTCGGATCCTCGCGATGAGGCGCCAGCGGCAGGATGAGCTGGACATGGGACTGGGGCGTCCAGATCGTGCAGCTGTTGGGAGCTGAGCCGGGAGATGAGTGCGATGAGGAGTGGACGACTGGTGGGCCTAGCAGCTAAGCCGTTAGTTATGTTCTATATAGTTGATCGAGGTGTTCGGCTCAAGAACTGATTAGAGGAACACCCATGAACTATAAGAATTATATAGTTCCTTTTAAAGCAACTCTCTTTCTTGTTCCGACCTTGCAAGAGCATCGTCACAGCCTGTCCGAAGCAAGACTTCCAGTGCCCCATCCAAGGTGAACATGTTTGGGAAGTTGGGTGGTGCACTCAAGGAGCGCATTCTGAAGGTCCAGGCCAACATCGAGCTCCGACAGGCGCGCGATCATGAGATGGATCAGCTGGCGGTCCAAGCACATGGGTGGATTGCGATTGCAGAAGCGTGATGCATTCATATCAGCCGCAAACCATTAATTTTGACCGTACCTCATCTCATCTCATATCTCACCGGTGAACAAAAATAGATATGAGCGGACCTCATCTCATATCATGCTAGGTCATATGATATGATTGATCATATGAATAGATAGCATCCTCATTGTTCATGCTCGGTGTCATGCCCAAACCTTCTCCCCACCTGCGGTCCCGCCACGCAGCTCCCTGATCGGTCCCGGTCGAATGCCTTCCGACGATCGACCGGCGACCCGGTCGGAGGCCTGGCAAAAGCTGCTGGACCTGGAGGCTGGAGCAAGTGCCGGTGACATGCTGGCGAGACGCGGGGGCGCGTGAACGTGTGAAGACGCGTCAACCGGGTCGCGTCAATGCATCATGATCCATCATGATGACCCATCCTTTTTTCATATTTTATCCATCGTGCCGCTGGGAAAGTCCGGGAGTGAAAGTGTGCGGAAGGACGACTGTGCACTTGTGATAGTTCATTCTAAGGGGGTTCTTTCAGAGGTGCGGAATTGCTCGAGGTAGCTGGGGAGATCCCTCAACTGGGTGGCTCATCCCTCAACTGGGTGTCCCGACATGGGTTTGGCAGAGATCAACTTTGGGTTCACCAATACTCCGATGATTGCCACGGCCAGCTTTCACCTGGGCCAGTCTGGCATGAACTTCCCCGCCCATTTCCATTCTGAATTGGCGCACCCTTCGCACCAATGGGCGCCGTTTTCAGATGGTCAAGGCCACACGGTGCCCTCTCGGTGCGGGAGCGCTCGGCTTCCGCCGAAGCCCTGGCCGTTTCGTTCGCGAAGCCCGCGCGGAACCAGGTCAGCGTGGGCCGCCTCCTGAACGCCGCGTTGCAGGCCGCGTGCGGATGGTGGGGTCGTCCGTAGACTGGATGGAGGGGAGAAGGTCAAGTGTGAGCACAGCGAGCCACACTGGTCCAGACCACAGAAGCGCAGCTGTGAGCTCAGCTGAGCGCAGCGTGGGAAGAAGCTGCTAAATTCGCACCTCTCTTGAGGCTCTTCTCCTGCTGGTGGTGGGCAATACCAACGCCATGCTAGCATCTGAGTGTCCAGAAACACGGCGCGGAAGCATCTTCAGAGTTGGTCAGATGAATCAGATGTGTTGTCTTGGGGTTACCAACCACCCGAGCTCAGATGGACTATGTGACTATATTATATCGCGTTGTGCAACGAAATGGATCCTTTTTTCTCCCTGCCATTGAAGCATACCCCTGTGATTCTCACGGTTTTTTTTGTAATGACTCATCTGTGTGTCACATGGTCCTCAGAGATTGGACCGGCCGCCGAGACGGCAGCTGTCGGGGAACTTCTACACCTACCACCTGAACAAGTTGCTGGAGCGGTTTGCGCTCGCGCGTTTATCGCGGGGGCGTTTTCTTTGCGAGAACGATGGAGAGGCCCCGCGCCCCTGATGGGCCCATCATGGGCGGGTCACGGTTTTTTAAGCTCGGTGCCACCAGACTCGGGCCACGTCTGAAGGCGGTGTCCGACTTGGCATTTTCGGGGAGAAACCCGCTGAAGATATCGACCACATCAGTCCGGAAACATCAGGGCGCTGTTTACAGACGAAACCTGTGGCTGTTTGGACTCGCTCCGTGCGCGCTCGCTCCGTGCGCGGTCGCACCCCATGTGGCGGCCGGACTCGTCCGGCCACACACCCGTCGGCAGGATTTGGGTGAAGCCTTCATTGGTGCCGCCGCGGATGCGGCCAAAGACGCGAAAGAGAGGAAGGCGCGGGTTTGTGCATTGGCTCCAAGAAGTTGGCCTGGCCCGGTATGTGGAAGGCACCCAGGAGGAAGACCGAAGTTGGGGTTGAGCAGCATGGCATCCCAGTCTTTGTGGTGTTGGTGATCTTGGGTTGTGACGACACATTGACATCATTGGCATTCCTTCCGTGCCCCTTTTCCAGTCAAGAAGAGTCGAGAGCTTGCCTCGCTGGGTTTCGTTCATTTGCACAATCCATGAGTCGCTTCGCCTGCTTGCTGTTGCTGGCGAGCGCGGCGTACCCGTCTGCACTGGCAGCGCGTGTCGAGTCCTTCGGCACCCTTTGTTGTGTGGCTGCCGGGACGAACTTTGATCGGGCCACACTGTCCAAGGCCGGGCCAAAGGGGTAGGCCGGGCCAAGGCCGGGCAAGCTGGACAGCTGTTCGTTTCCCGGTATCCCCCCGGTCTCAGGTCGGAGGGTTGAGGTGCCGGGAGTCCATTCTGTGGAAGGTTTTTTGGAGGGCCAATCAACAAGTTGAGTTTCAAGGGGGTTCCTGAAGCCTGAAGCTTGCTGTGGTAAACCAAGTGTGGTAGGTTTCCCATGCAGCTCAGGTCTATCAGTTTCTTTTGTCTGATCCCTATGCCTCTGAAGTTGAGCGCCAGAAAGCTGCAGCCGAATTCAAGGAGTACACGGGCTTGGCCGACCTTACCGCCTCTAAGCCTTTAGAAGGTGCTGCATTGGAGGAGGCAGCGCAGGTTGCAGATGACTTCTATAACTCGAAACAGACTTTCATCAACAAACCCTACTGGTTCAAGAAGCCAGACTGCCCGGGCGACATGGAGCCGGTGGTGGACAGCGTGCTGAAGAAATGGCGATGTCATGAGACGGACGTGCTGTTAACGATGTCATCGGTGTCGACCGAAGTGAGTCGCTTTGCGATGAAACGCTTGGAGGATTTTACCAAGCACGCACAGCAGCTGGCTGATAGCAGGGAGGAACAGGCCAATGAACTTGATGACAGCCTTCCAGGTCTGGAGAAGCTGTTTGAAGAGGCCAAGAAGGGGCGAGAGGAGGCGGATGAAGCGGCTGGGCAGGCCTTGAGAGAGCATGGAGAGGCAGCTCGGAAAGCCATGAAAATCCTGTAGTTAAGATTAGTTCGGTGGGGTTTCCGGAGCCTTGAAGTTCTTTGTCGCAAAAAGAGAGAAGCGCAACATGCAGATTCAGCTGGGCTTTTTCGCTTCAACTTCTTTGGACTGAATCCTCGAACCAGGAGGCGCGCAGGGGTATGATGCGTGGGGAGGAATCGGACGGCGAGGATTACGTCCGAACGCTTAGTGCTTGGGCCGGAAGGCGTGCGTTCCGGTGGGGTCGTTTTGCGGAGCAGATGGTCGTTTTGTGCGATGGTTTGACGAAACATCAACACCCCAGCTGACCCATCTTCAGAGTTTGGACCACAAGAGAGCCGTCACACCTTCATGTTCATCTATGCATCGGCCACCTTGGAGATGCATCGGCCATCCCACCGAATCCCTGTGGGGTGGGGGTAGTCGGTTCTTTAAGCGAGCGATGTTGGACCAGCCCAGGCGAACCCTGACAAGAGCCTGAGGCGCATGCAGTTCGCTTGGAGTCATCGACATATCGATTTACACATCAAGCAGTGTAAACATGCTGCAGTGCTGCATGTGACATGGGGGCAAGTCCTTGCCCCCAGCTATGGGGTCTGTTGAAGTCCGTCCGGAGTGGAGGCCGAGGCCATGGCTCTTACAGTCAGCCAGTTGTCATGGCTCTTACGGCCGCAGGATTCGCGGCAAGGTGGGCCGTGTCGAAGTTCCAGAGGGTCAGGACGGAGGGTGTTCGCGTTGATTGCACTGTTCCCAGAACGTAGGCATCCAATGACATGTAGTGTACATATTATACCTGAATTATCTTTATGATATTTTTAGATCAAACAGAGAATGTACATAGATGTCATTGGATTATAATCTTGTTTATAAATCTTATGATCTATGTACATATAAATCTGATACGTACTTCGAATGAGATCTCGTCTTTGCTCCAGACCGCTTCGGTCTCCCCTCTTCCCTCTTCAGCGGAGGAGCGCCGCTCCATGTTGTCGCCGGGTCCTGAGAGACGGCTGCGGCTCCCTTCGCCGGCGACGTCCCTCCCCGTCGCGCCCGATGCGACGAATGAGGATGGAGACCTTATCCTTGAAGTGCCAGGTGCTGGTGGATGAGCCTCGACTTGAGGAGGGTGGGGGGGTTGGTCAAAGCCCATAGGTTGACATAGGTTGAAATTCTACGCTGGGTCTACCATCAACTGCTTCAAAGCTGCAGACACTTTGGGTTGTGACTCCCGGGGGACCGTTGGGCTGCCTCTCTTGGACCGTTTGGAGAACGAGCTGAGACGGGAGACGGGTTGCTTGAGACACGGCGCGTAGACGACGTGGGGCATCGCGCTACCAGCTCGAGCTCGCACTGCCACTGCTTGGAGCTCCCAACGGGGGTGGAAACACATGGGCCACACGAACGGAGCCTGTCGGGCCTCGCGTTCCGTCGCGGCGCTCAGGCGCTGCGGGGGCACTCGGCGAAGGATCGGCCGACCATCGTCTGCAAAGCGTGTCCGGTCACCCGAAGGGAGGCGTCCGCCATCCGTGTCGTGTTGGATGGCGATGGTAATGGCAATGGCAATGGCAATGCTGGTGGTTCATGAGTCTGGAATCTAGAGGGGTTTTCAGGACCCTTTTGGTTTTTCTTTCCTTCCTTCCTTTCTTCCTTCCTTCCTTTCGTTCTTTCCTTTTTTCTTTCTTTCTTTCTTTCTTTCTTTTGACAACATGATGGACACGTGATCTGAACTTCTCCCAATGGTGGTCTTCATGTTCCATGATGTTTCTATGCTTTCAATGGTTGACCTGGCAGGTCGATTGTTCCTGCTGATCCTTGAGCCCAGCTCCCAAATGCCAATCCCATGTGTTTGTCACTTGAGATGATGCTGATCCTTGTGCTTGTGGGATGGGATCGCTACTTGGTTTTGGGAGGGTAGAACAGGTGGAGCTACTAGAGCCATATTGAACCATACAATACAGTAAATTACAACATACAATTTGTAGATTCGTAGATATTTATAGTACACCAGTGCTTTTACATTTATATGCTTTTATATGCTTACAGTATATGTTTAATGATTGACTTCAACTGGTTGCTTTTCGCTTCGAAAGCAACTTCGCTTGGAACTTGCTCTCCAGCTGGCCATGTGCAATCCTAGCCCAGGCACCACAAGGGTCTTATCATGAAGGCCAGACCGTGGATGACGTGGACTGGAAGCGCGGGATGTTTCTCGGTGGTGTTTTCAGTTCCAAAGAGAAGGACACCGACCCGATGGTTAATCCTATGCAGATCCCTTTGTTTGGGTCCATTTGGCCAAGCAGCCCCGCAGCCCTTCCCAGCAAGAAACACCGGACGAAAGACTACGAGTCAAACAATACAGGTTGTTGCAAAATGATGGCAGGAGTTGACAGCCAGCTACATGCCCCGGAATGGTGTATATAGTTTGGAGTTGAAAAGAACGGCTTATGCCATGCCATGCATTGCCATGTTGATCCATGTTGTGCTGTTGCGTTTGTGACTACAGTGAACATTTGAATATATAGCTTCTCAGATTCTCTCCTGCAAGAGCACCATTGGCATGAACGACCAGGCGAATGACCAGGGAAAGAACCAGTGCCGACGCGTCGAGGCCTGTGTGTTTCAGGGGTGAAGAAAACCACTGACCACCTCCCAGCGAGACTCAGGCTGTGCACTGTGCATGGCGTATCATGGCGTGGTATTTTGATGTATTTTGGGTTTCCAGGGCCAGTTGTAAATGAACTAGTCACTTCGATGTTTTCTGCTCATATGCGGGAATGCTACAAGGGCCCCTCAGATGCCTTTTGGATTGACAAGACTCGTGGCTTGTCAAAAAAGGTAGATCAGATCCTTTTCATGTCTGGACACTAATTGGATGAAGTTCTGAACCAGTGATCCTGCATGTGTCCCGTTTTCCAAGTGGGTTTACATTGCGTTTGCCAGACGTGCTCTAGACGTTTTTGGGTCTGGGTGGTCATGGCCGATCCCAGCGAGGCGATCCCAAAGGTCCGTGGTTTGCCATCCCACTCGAAAGAAGACAGTAAAGACACATGTGTACAGAAGTATACTGTACCTGCAAATGCGTCGAGGGACCTTCTACCCAAGTAACCCACTGCTGCGTGAGTTACTGTTGTCTTTGTTTCCTTCTCAGGTGGTGTTTTGACCGGATACAATTCTCTTTCTGTACCCGTGGCGGAGTCACTTGCTCCCTTTGGCCAGCCCGGCCAGTTGCAGTTGCGGAACCCAGCGCCCAGTGATGACTTGCATTTCACGGAGGCCGAGGGGCCCCGCGCTGACGGGGCCTTGCCCAAGAAGAACCTCGTGAAGGGCTTTTAAGCCAACCGTTGAAATGTGGGAAACTAGAGACACCCCGCTGTTTCGCTGGGGTTTCCAGGTTGATCAACTATATAGTTATCCTCATTGTAGAACCTGTGTTCTTCAGGATGAGGAAACCATCGTTTCAAGTCGTCAAGGTGAAGCTGGCATAGCTTACGAGTACGGAGGTGACCCCGGGTCGGACTAGCCCTTGACTGGTCGGATCCGTTTGACATCCTTCTGCTCTAGGATAGACAAGGAAGTACTGGCAAGTAGCGATGTCTTGTGAGGGATTGCTGGTCAAAAATGCCAGATCCTTACCCAAGACGACAAATCTCAGTGACCGCGACAAAGACTTTGTTCCGAGATCTTCAAACCCTTGGAAAGCGTCTTGGCGGCCTTCATCAGCGTGCTGAAGACGCACAATGAGGCCATGATGCCATATCTTTTGGCCGATTGGGTGGCTTCAATCTCCAACTTGAAGCACTTTGGCATCCCATGTTTCATGCAAGTTTGTCTTCTGCTTTAATCGAAGTCTTTGATGAAACTGACACCGACCGCAGAACTCGCCGGTGATCAGCGCCGCGGGGCGCCTCAGTTTCAGCGACCGGACCGGTGGACACCAAGCGATCGGACCGTGGGGGGCCACGGCGCCGCGACCGGGTCGACCGCAGGTCTTTCAGGTGATCGCCAAGCTCCGAGCAGCTCGGCGAGACGGAGGGCTGCGGTAAAGGAAGAAGCTTGCTGTTTTGGAGCAGGTCAGCTTTGCGTGTTTAATGACACATGCTTTTTTTGGGGGGACGGTTCAGCGGATGTGGATTTGGGATGGTTTGGGTAGGTGGGCCGGTCTCTCATCATCGTGGGAAGTGCTATCAAAGACGTTTTCCGGTGGACCTGGTTTTTTCGACAGCAAGACTGGGAGCGAGACGTTGGGGTTAAAGTTTCGGGGGGTTCTTCTTTGGAGTCATGGGAGGGTCGAAATCTCCAGGGCTTCATAGCATCCGTTCACGTTCGGCGGTATGCTTGTTTCGAACGGCTGGCTGTGCACCTGGGAACCCTCTGGTTGACCACAGCACATGACTGAACAGAATAGACTACTAATTCGGGAGGCCCAACCTATCAGGGTCAACCCGGCGAACTCGCTGTCCAACCCCGCCAGTGGCTGAGGAGCTCGCGCTTCTCTCGGTGTGGGGGTCCTCGTGGCCGGTGCGGCGGCGCTGGCGTGGAGGGTGTCACGCACCGGGGATCTTGAGGTGTTTTCTACGGAGGGGAGGCCATCACTACTAGGTCGGAGGTCATCGCTAGTAGGTTGGAGGCCATTGCTACTAGGTTGGAGGCCATATTGGTTTCTCTTTCTCCACGCGGGGGGCGACAGTCAGAGCGTCAAGCAGTAGATCCTCACGTGTGCGAGGCCTGCCGGCATGCACTTGAATGGTTCGAATGCGGAGAAGCAATGGCAGGCTCTATTTGGTGAATCTACGGGGATGAGACTGAATCCATTTGGAAGGAGTACTTGAGACTTGAGACTGAAGAATCTGATGCACTGCTTAACAGAACTGGCGGCCACACCATGAGTGTTCCTTCCATTTTTGGAACAAGAAGATGAGTGGAAACTCTCACCACCGGGCTAGGATCTTAGAGATGACTCACGACCCCCCCTCAATGTGAGACATCTTTATCGGCGGAGTCATGTCTTCAAAGAACGTCCAAAGGTCTTGGCCTGGCCCATAAGCCAACCAGGTTTGAGTCCATCTCTTCTCAGAGGTCGCCTGAGGGGCCTCTTTGTCCGAACTCTCATGGAGTCTCTGCCGTCGCTCTGTCTTCGCTCGATCAGCACGCTCGTTGGGGAGGTGCTGATCGCCAATGCTGGGGAGGGCGCCGAGTATGTGATCCGCAAGGCCAGGGTTTCCTTGGGATCGTTTTCGCAGTGGGATCGTGGGCTGGGCTGGCTTGGGGAAAGAGTTCATGAAAAATATCCCGGCACTTGACTTGTCATGCTGTTGGACTTGTCATGCTGTTGACTGGTTATCTCCTCCACCTTCTCAGCACATATGAGGCCGGACCTCGTCCAACCGAAGTGATGCGCAACGTCCAACCGGAAAACGGGAGGCAGCGCAACGCCTGGCTGTGGCTTTGGAAGAGACCAAGAAAGGGGTCCGGAAGCCTGATTCCCAAGAAACTCCATTGGTAGAGGACCATTGACACAAATGGACTGTGGTCAATCGAAGCTGGTCATTGCTTTCTCATTGCTTTCCTTGGTTTCTTTACAAAGCAGGGGACCACCAGAGTACCATTCATGGTGGAAAGTCTGGGAGCTTGTGGCATCAATCACTGCACAAGAATTTCCTTTACGCTCACATTGAACTTCAAACCCGAGAAAAAACGTGTACGCCGGACGTAAGTCCCTTTCTCTCCTGCCGGGTCGCTGGGAAGATGTGTCCCTCCCCGCTCCCGTCGTTCCATCCGTCGGACCTGCCGATCGCCGAGGATCATCGCATCGAAACCTTCCACCTCAAGCCGAATCAGATCGAGGGCAACGGAGCGGCGTGGCGCGACAAGCGGGAAACGGGCAGGTTCGCCTTTTGTTTCTCGCCATTAGGTTGGAGGCACATCGCTAGTAGGTTGGAGGCCATCGCTATTTAGGTTGGAAGCCTTCGCTAGTAGGTTGGAGGATGTTGGAGGCACATCGCCTTTGGGCTGGAGGCACATAGCTAGTAGGTTGGAGGCACATCGCTATTCGGTTGGAAGCCTTCGCTAGTAGGTTGGAGCCCATCGCTAGTAGGTTGGAGGCCATTGCTATTAGGTTGCAGGCCATCGCTACTAGGTTGGAGGCCATTGCTATCAGGAGGGGGGAAGACACACCACGGCGGGAGGTGAAGGAAGGAGGTATACCGTATACCATTTGAAGTTGGGAATATAGAGTTGAGCAGAGCAATGGTGATTTGTGGAAGGGGCCTGGATTTAGCTTAGTTCAACTAGGAAGAAAGAGTACAAGAACTGTACTCATACTAAACAGACATTGTGATACAGTAATCGATAATTCTCTTCAAGCCTTGGGTTCCTTATGGCTTTTAGTTTCCGGTGGGTGGTGGCTTTTGGCTTCGCATTGCCTCAAGGCTTCTGGCATTTCCCACACCCCATCCAAGCATCCTTTTCAACAAGCCGTGCAAACCCAAATGTTTGACACATCCCCAAACCGATCGATGATTAGGCTGAAACTGGCAGACTTGGGATGCTTGATGGCAGCTTTACTTTTCTGCACTTTTCTCTCTAAACTTTAGTTTGTCTAGAAACCTCTACACTCGTTTCGATGCTCCTGGACACCTCCGTTTTTGGGAAACCGAAGTCGCGTTCTGAACCTTCTCCAGAAATGTCTCTCATCTCAACATTGAAGAACTTGTTCCAACTTTCTGAGAAACGGTATATATATATATATGTGTTCATGGCCTCTTTTTGTCCTGGACGCCTCTCCTTAGTCTCTATTACTAATCATACTCATCACTACTCTTCTGCGTGTGTTGTCCAGACAGTGTGCCATAATCATTATCTTCCTTCTCCGCTTCCCTGGTGTTTTCTGGTCCCGAATTCTGCTCCTGGTCCATTTCCAGTTTTGACCAACCAGACCCTCATCACCAGTTTTCCATAGGGTTTTCCAACAGGACCAACCAAACTCGGAGGGTCTCACTCCGCGTTTGCCTCTTGCTCCTGGCATGTCGTCCTCCCCAAACCCGACCGACCCACACGGTCTCCGCACGGCCCGGCTCGCACCGAACCCGCCGTCTCCGTCCGCGGAATCCCCGTCGACGTCCCGGGAAGTGAAGACGACGGGAACCCGGGACGGTGGAGGCGCCAAGCGGTCCGCGTGTTGCGCGGTCCGGCGGGGCATCTGCGCGGTCTCGTCCAAACGCCTAAGGAGTGGTTGACGCCCCGGATGCGGGAGGAGGTGAGAGAGATGATTCACGTGGGAGAGGCGAGTTGAGATGAGACCGGTGGGTGTTGGGTGAGGTGAGAACGTGACCGTTCTGTTGGGCCGGAAGAGACCGGTGTTTGGGAAGGAGGACACGTGGAAGAGATGGGAGGGAGCCAACCTTTGCTGGATTTTGTTTTGCATTTACAGTTCACTGGTGCAAAATCCGTGCAAGTGCTTGAGCAAAGAAGCAAGAGCTTGAAGAAGGATTGCAGAGAGCGGCGTCACAATGGGGGGAATGCATAGACTTGTATGAACCTCTATACTGTAAATCATAAGTCAAAGAATGACAAGTTGGAGTGGTGCAAACAAACTCGAATTTTGACCGAAGTGGCAAGTACAGTGGCAAGACATACACACCAAGCAACAAAGAGAAGATGAGCACCCAAATTATCAGGACAGCCTCCTCTCCTCGCTCGCTCTTTCACACGCTGGTTCGTTTTGCCCACCGCCTGCCCTTGTCCCAACCTGAACAGAAGCAGAAGCGAGCACGTCTTGCAAAAGAAGTGGTGAAATAAACAAACAGCACAGCCGCTTGCCCCCGCACCAATTTCTCACCATAGAAAACCATACGGCGAAGGCCCGGCTGGCTTCAGACCATCGGATCCGCCGCCGATCGCCCGGAGACTCCGCCGCTGGCTCCAGACGTTGTCATGTGGAACACGCTTTCGACAGATGTGGACAGATGTGCTCCGCACGACGCGGCACAACGCGCCTCCTCGACATCTATCAGGTCTTGGCGGCCGATGCCTTCAAAGCTGCTTGGGCCGAACAAGAGGAGTCTCCGTGTGTATCGGCGAAGCATGTTCGAAGCATGGGTGTGGTGTTCTCAGAAGTTGCTGTAGGCATGGTTTGCCCAGAGTGCCCGAAGCCTTCATGGTGTTTTTCCAGATCCCTCAAGAAGGTTGGTCGCCTTGCTTTGAGCTGGTTGCTTGCAAGTTAGCCCCTTTTACTGCAGGAGCCGCTGCGGTGGGAGAAGATATACCAGAAGCAACAACAACTGAAAGCACAGGAAAAATACAGGTGCCAGCTGTGCATTCTGAGGGTCCAAGCACTGGGAACCAAGCTATGTCCCCAGATTGACGGGCCAAACCACCCATGCTCTTCAGCCGCCAAACATGTGGTGAATTCTTGGGTTTCGCAACGACTGTGCTTCAGAGGGATGTCTACGTTGTTCTACTGCGACTGCTGTGCAGTTGGACTGGCAGGGAAGACAAGAGAAAGGCCAAAGAGATGGGTATTGCGCGAAACTCAATGCCTTGGGAGTTATTGGAGCTGAAGGGGCACCTTTCTATGAGAGGATCGTCTGGTCAAGTCTTCTTGGGCTGGTCAACTTGTAAGTCGACAGGACGATCCCAAGGGGGCTCTATTTCCAGCGAAAAACCAAGAGATGGGGCATGGAGCCCCAAACCCTTTGCCAGGGCAGCTAGCAGCTAGGGCACCTGGTTTGATCCAAAACACCAAGCCTGCGCAGCTGAGACACGGGGGTCTCCCCCTCAAAGTTCCGGGACTGTTCCGGGGAGTTCGGGCCCGGGGGCGTCTCCCGATTTCCGAGAGCTACGAAGAGTTCCACCAGCTGGAGCTCGAGGAGCAGGCGCGCAAAGGTGCGGGGGACGCGCGCCCCCAGACGCGCAACGCGAAACACCAAGAGCAAGTCGTAGAACTTGCGCCTTGCTGGGGAGTTTGGGTGGGATATACTGAGATGTGTGAAGTAGCCACAAGATGGATCACCACATGCTTGTGACAAGATGCTTGCATCCTGTCATTCTTGGAAGCTTGCCACTCAAGAATGGTTTGTTACTCTTGGAGCGATGTCCTGCCTTGGAGCGATCTGTGACATCGCCAGAAGCAGCGGACGATGACTCCAGCAGCAGTGGGATGTCTGGCTTTGAGAGGGAGGATAATCCTCAACAAGGTTGGAAGAGCTGGGATCATGAGGGTGTTTGGCAGGGTTTTGGTTTGTAAAAGGAGCACAGCAGCTCAGCAGCAGCCAACACTTCACATGTATATAAATCCATTTATTTGCAACACATGAAATCCATTTATAATATACGAATATATATATATATATATGTATGTATTTCTAACCATTTGAAGAGAGGTCAATGTAAGATGCCTGCGTGAAAGGAGGTAAACCATGAAACGTTGCGACAGATTCGTGAAAGATGTCCCGAACTTTTCATGCCCACGATTTCGCATGCGAAAGCTTTTGGAAAGCTTGTGGAAAGCGGTCGCGATTTCACTTGCGCAAGTGTTTTTTTTGGCGATAGGAGAACCGGTTCTCGATAGGATTTTTTTCATTTTCCTCTCCGAAGGAGTCAGACCCAAAGACTTCCGTGGGAGGAGTAGGTAGCCGCAGGTAGTGATAGGTTCTTTTTTTCCAGCTCTGAGAACAAACAAAAAGCACATCTGACGCAAGCAACAACTGGGAGTTCTGGGTTTTCGCTTGACAAGATCTTGAAGAGGCTTTTCCTTTAATCAGGTGGTTGCTATGTTGGTCTGAGCGGGGTGGCTGGATCATTGGATCATGGGGTCCAGGGTTTCGAGGTGTTTTGAACTCTGGAGGAGTTGCAGTTGAAGAGGAAGATGAAGTGCTGAACTTTGACGAGGAGGCGGGCTGCCCCTGGGGAGCTCTTGAACGGAGTTCCAAAGAAAAGTTCTTCACAATACAAGTGAACCCTCTGGCGAGGATGTGATGGGCGACGTGCAGTGGCTGCGTGCGATTGGCTTTGGCTCTCACGACGAGGACGCCGCGACCAGTGCATTCGTCATGGAAACTTGTTCCTAATAGCTTCTTGTTACTACTAGTAAGGCACTTGTTACTACTAGCGTGGCACTTGTTCCTAGTAGAATCCTCGAAGTGCGGGGTTCAAAGAGATGTGGCCTGAATGGTGCGACTTGGTGCGGCCCCTGGGAATTCATGCCTTTGGAAGGCAACACTCACCTGTTTGCAGTTGGCTATTTGACATCCCCATAGGCATCCCATAGGCATAAGAGTTGTGATGTCATTCTGTCAACTGTGATGCCATTCGACTTGGCTGCTTGCTGGGCAGGATGACTTTGATCGGCTTTGGCGCAAGCCCATTACAGATGTGGGCCTGCCGCTGTTGAGTGTTGGTCGAGCCTGCAGCCTTTTAGAATCCAGCAAGTTTGCCTACTCATTATTTCTTAGCATATATATAATAGCTTTATGTCTGGAGCAAACATAGAGCGACTATATAGACACTAGACCTCTTGGGTGGAACTGTAAGTGCAGAATCCTACCAAACCGGGTCTTCTGCCTTGGCCAGATCCTCTTGCGCAACATCCCGGAGAGGGCACCGCCCGATAGCAAGTGGGCGATCGAGGCAATCAGAAGCGATGGATTTGGCCGAAGTGACCGAATGAGTTGGGCTGAAACCATGGGCTTCAAAAGAACACCCCTATTGGTCGTTTCTATAATAATATACCGCCAAGAGGCATTGATCACGGCTGTTTCTTGAAAGTAATTAGTGCAACGCACTCGATTCGGCAACAAATTCAGGAATACAATGAAGGTGAAGGCAACGGGACAGCATCAAGATTCAAGCCATGTTTTGGAGATGGTTTTTTGATGGTTTGAACGTTTAGTGAGCTGAGAAACCATGAGACCCAGGACTCTGTCATCGAAAGCTGCAGGGAATCGGGAGACATCGGGTCCCGAGTGCCGGCTGGGAGCCTTTAGTTGGGCATAGCTGGCGCCTTGAAATAGCCTTGAAATAGCCTTTAGTCTCAATGAATTGGTTCATACGGGAACATCTGCAGGAAACCCATGTGTTCATCCCCCAAACTATGGCTTTCCTGTAGATCTTCCCGTATGAACCAATTCTGGGATGAGTTTGTTTCCTCTGCCCAAACCGAGAACATACCCAACGAGCCACAGCTGAGCATCGCTCTCCACGATCGGAGGCTGCTCAAAGGCGGCGGGAGCTGGTCGAGCAGGCGGGTTTTCGTCGCGAGCGAGATGGGTGCTGAGATGGCGGTGTCAAACAGAGAAATAGGCAAATGGCGACCTGGACGTCGTTCTTCCTCAGCTCAAACGACTCAGCTTGGGTCCGAACGACTCAGGGTCCGGTCCGCGTGGGTCAGAACTCCACTAAGTCCCCAAGACCATCGGTCCGCGTGCTTCAGGTACGCATATCACAAGAGACTGTTGGATGGAAAACAAAGACGTCCGTTTTTCCGATGTTTGTTCGAAATCACTGGCAGTCCAAGGTTTCTTGGGTCACGCTTAGAAACACGTGACGTCTGTTTAGCACGTTTTAAGACGTTCCCGTCCGTCACTGGTGTTCCTCGGTCTCCGGTTCTCAGGCTGAAAAGACGGGCGAGCCCTTGGAGGCCCTGTTGGAGCATAGGGAGCTTAGGCTGTGCGTCGAACGTGCCAAGGCGGTCAGGTTTTCAGCTGCTGTTGCCATCGTAACTGGACGACGTGGCCAAGTAGCAACTGCCGACCGCGCCAATAAGCCATTGCCACCACAATGTTCGTCCATTGCCACCGCAATGTTCGTCCAGGATCCTGACATGGACGAACTTCTGCAAATCGAGATGTTGGAGTCTGGACGCCCAGATCGACGTGCACCGTTGTGCCACGCGTGTCGCGGCCAGGTCGAACGGCCACGGCGGAGCTAGTTGCGTGGGGTGAGGCACCAGTTGTTCGGTGGTGTTCCAAGGTGCACCATCCATTTGGGGACAGTGTTTGGGTGTGCTTGGCTGTGCTTTGGAAGCTATATAATATATAAGAACGCAGCCCAACACCTTGGCACAAGGGAACACATCGACTGCCCATCCATCCTGGGTAGTTTGCTTTGGAGGCCATCACAGCCAGGTGCATTTTCACCAGTGATTAAGGATCCGTCAAACTGAGGTGGGTTTCATCCAGGTGCCTTTGGCACCAGGATTTTGGGACGTAAGTATAGTATAGTTTTCATGATCATGCGCTATTGAGGAAGATCGCCTGCTTTTTAGTAGTGGTCATATCTTCTATAATCCCACCACTATATTTTTATACAAGAACTCGATTGTCCGGCCGTTTTGCGCAGCTTCTGAGGTCTGTTCAGGGAAAGCTCAAGATTCGAGCTTTGGTGCTCTCCCCGCTGTGGAGTTTGCGTGTATTCAGTGTATTGCAGATCAGCATCCTAAAGATGACATCAGAGGTGGTCAAACTAGGACAAAGTTACAAAGTAATTTGTACATTGTACACGGGTGTATTGGCTTGCTCGCCTATATGGCTGCTCACCCAAAGTCGTAGACACCTTGGCTTAGCACCTTCGTCTCCCCAAAGCTGGTGAATACTGACGAAAGAAGCAGAGGCTGGGATTCAGGTTGTAGATCGAACTACTGGTAGTTCACCTGCAGAACATGAGTTTCTCCCACCAAGAGTACTTGCAGTGCCAAATCTTCGTGTACACGCAGGGGTGATAAGTGCCCACCAGACAAAATGAGCGTGTCGTCAAAAACCAAATAGATAGCGGTTTGGCAAGAGACTTCCAGGCCTTCGGCAACTTAATGGTTCGGTAGACTAGACAAGAACATGTCTTCTGTTCTTGACACTGAAGACATCAGCTCACCGCATTTGACCAAAAAACAACGACCTGGCAACAGCATGTCAGACGTCAACAGCGCTTGGAAGCGCCCCTGTCAGACGTCACCCCCCTGGTCCAACGGATCGGATCAGCAGACCCGAACAGACGAGACGGGCGGGCGGAAGCGTCGGATAGCAACTGGTCGGTCTACGCATCCGCCCCCAAATCCCAAGAATAATTAGGTTCAATAGGAACCTAGAAAAGCAACACTGTCAAACCAATTGCGGAACTGTTGAAAACTGTAATACATAAACTAAGAACACTTTAAAGGCATGCGGCATGCGACTAAACTTGCATGTCTTTGGGTGCCTAAAAGACATCTTGGTGCCGTTCGTCAGGCACTGCGATCGGACACTTCGATGCAGCGAAGATGACACGCCACGCCACATGCTTTGCAGGTACGTCCACAGGATCAGATCCAAGCCAACAACATCGAGACTCGCGTGACTGGTCCGAGGGAGGTTGGATACGGTGACAAGGGAGGTGCTTTTTCTGTGTGCAGGACCTACACTTGGTTCGACCTAGTCACCAACATCCGTGGACATCAAGAAAAGCAATACATGATAGTAGAAATAGGATACAGTATGTAGTAAGATAATGTCACAAAGAGATGACCCACCCAAAACTAGATCCGTTTAGCCACTTCAAATCAGAAGAGGACCTACACTTGGCCCGTGGAGAGCCGTCATGACATGCACGGCTGAGGGGAAAGAGCTCACGGATCCTAAAGGTGCCTCCAAAGTCATCGTGCAGGAAGTGGCGAAGGGCTGCTCGGCCGCAGGAAGTGGCAGATTGACCGGTGACCTGCGGGGTTGCTTTTTCTTTGCTTTTCCTGAGTGAACGACAACTGCATAACATTTGGCTGTTTGGCAGGATTCAGGTGGTATTTTCAAGGCTTTCCATCCCAAAGATGCGGAGCCAACATTGTCCTAATGTGTTTGCTGCCCCAAGCCTGCAGGCTTCCGGAGAAGCGGCTATTTGCTCCCCAAGTATGGCTTCGCTTGCCGCCGCGGCACCCAGATTCCGCGATGCGTCGAACGTCGCCGGCGTCGCGTGCCGACGCGCGCAGATGCGCGCCGACGTCACGTGTCCGTGTGAGCTGACGTCAGGAATCCAGAAGCGGGCAGCCGGGGGCCCCCCAGTGATCCGTCGACGAGGAGGACGACACGATGGGATGGTTGGCTCTTGGAGGAGTTTGCTTCGGCCGGACGTTTTGGTGGGGTATGGGCCCCTTGAAGGCCGGCATGATCAATTAGCTCAAAGATTCCACCAATGTCGTTTTGCGAACCCTAAACAGGAACTTGAAGAACTGCGGTTGCTTGGGAGTTCTCACATCAAGTCCTGACTTGCTTGTCTTGCTTGATGTTGGGTCTGATCGGCCGGCAGCCGGCCTTAACACTGAGGCCTCACTCACTCAACTGGCCAGAGAGGCCCAGAAGACCAGCTGATTAGAGCTAGGTGCAGGCAGTGTCACTGCTTGGGGAGCTTGGTCTTTCCTTGGTTCAGTCTGTGCATGGGGAGTCAAACACCGCTTCCGTACTGAGCACTCGTGCTCTGTTTGCATCTCCTAGCCTATACCCGTTTCCACCCCCGAAAACAGCTCGTGCCCAAGCGATTCGCACCTCCCGAAGGGAGTTGGGTTTCGAGCGCGTTAACGAGCTCGAATTTGGCCGAAGCAGCCACGACCGGTGTGAGAAAGGGCTTTGGATTTTGATTCCACCTCCGCCTTGCGGTGACCGGTGAAGATGCTTCCTCGTGAGAGAGAGAGAGAGGTCTGAAGACATCATCAGCCTGTCCAGAGTTATTGACACTGGATAGAACCTGGAGGAGCTTGGAAAGTCTCCACCAATGAGGTTCAAGTTCCATCAGCTTCGTTCTTGTACCACCTGATGGCAGGAAGGGCTTGATCTTTGGTTTGGATAGGAAAGATATGACGAACAAGCACATACCTTTGTAGGCACTGACAAGATGAACAACCCACCTGGAGATTCGCTTGGTCCGCGCCATCTGGGCTCTCAGCATCCGTTGTAGCGAACCGACTCCATCCTGGTGAAGGCCGGAAATTCATGGAAATTCTCATCATGAAGATTGGATCAGATTTGATCAGATTTCCAACGTTTTCGAAGGATTGATGGTGGATCAGATTTCAAGTGAGTTCAAATGATTTCACCCGTATGCGGGCGGAAGCATTGTTTCTGATCAACAGTCCACATTCGTGGGGTTCAAGGCCGGTGGGTCAAACCATTCATGAATTGATCCCGCAGATTTCACATGAATATTGCTTGCTGAGCTGCTAGCCAACTGTTTCCACAATCTTGAGGTCTTTGTCAAGAAGACACCCGATAAACATCTGACAAGATTTTGAGGTCATCAAGAAGACAACCAATTTTGAATGAACGTCCATCAGGACGTCCCATTGAATCGAGTCCGGCGTCGGTCACCTTTGGCACCACGCCCTCTCAGGCGGCTGGAGCACCCTCCCATGCGGCCCGCGGCCGCGGCCGCTGAGCTGCTGGGGACGGGTGTGGTGGCTTTCACAGCCTGGGGCCCAGCCGAGGGCCTGTCAGGAGGTCCAAGGAGGTCAGGTTGACGGAGTGTCCCAAGAAACGAAGCACCGTGGCAGGGTCATCTCTGAATCCGACACAGGAGGTTGGTGGAACATCATTTTTGATCATTTTTGGTGTTTCTTACAAGTTGCCGGTCTTTTCATGCGATATTCGAGGGGGCATCAGTGTTCACTCATGGGCGGTTGCACCACCCTTGCAGGTGGGCTGCAATGTCTCAGCCCCCAATGCACCCATCGAATGGCAGATTGCATCCATTGCCTGCTCCCTACTGGCAACTGGGTGGCAAGGCATTGTTGGAGGGCATCCAAGGCCACACACAGCGGCAGTTGGAGGGCACGGGTCAAAAAACATCATAGTATCTGATCCAATAGAAGGTGGGTAGGTAGGTAGGTAGGTGGGTGGGTGGGTGGGTAGGTTGGTAGGCAGATTCGGAAAGAAAAAGACCTGCTATCGTGGAAGGTTACATGCTATCGACACCTCAATGCAGTTGGCCTGAAAGATCAACAAATATAATGCAGACAGTAGACATATGTATAGATGGAACTAGAGCTCTGGTTTTGCCTTTCAGTCAAACGCACCCAGTGCACATCGCAAGAATCACCCCCCTGACCCTAGTCCCCTAGTCAAAATGATTCAACAGCACTTAGTTGTTTTTTGGCACCCTCCCAAGATCGCAACACAGTGGACCATCTTGGATGGACTATTTCGAACCCGCGTTGATGGTTTTTTGTATCAAATCACATGTTTTCATTGGACCTGGGAGGTTGTGTGTGTGATTTGGACTGATGTTGGTCTGAGAAAGCATCGGTTTGATGCGTTTTTCATCGGTTGCCTGTGATTTCGATGTGCACATTGATCGATTTCAGATCCTTCTTTGTCGACATGCGGGTGTCCACGACGATGTTCAGCTAGGGTGTCTAGGAGGTCCAACGCCACCTCCTGGCATCACCAGGTGCTTCTTTTCCAGGTGTTTCCCCTCCCTCCAACCAACGAAGCGGAGACTTCCATCCGGATCTTGACGGGGGGAAGATCCGTCCTCGCCCTCCACGCGTACGTTCGATCAGAGGGTACGAGCGCTGTACTGACGAAGCTCTGCATGCCATGCCTTGGACGTGACGCGAAGGTCAGGCGCTTCAACTCCTCCAGCGTCTGTGCGCCGCGCCGTGCGCACCAAGGCGATGATGTCAGCCTTCGGGTCCATCTCGGGCGGCCACCTCAACCCTGCGGTGTCGCTGTCCATGCCACTGGGCGGGTGTTTCTTTGGGTGGAGATCACATGGTGTGAAAGGCTCTCAAGTGTTTCGGGTCAGGAACACCTCTTTCTTGAACCTAGAGTGAGCATGTTGCTTTCCACTTTTGGGTTTAGGACTTGTCTGGGTCTGAAAGCAACCAGGATTGCTCGGGTCTGGGTCATGGAGTGCTCGGCACCAGCTGCCTCAGCTGCTTTGGTCTTGGGGGTCGTCTTGGTCCTCCGCAGATTGATATGGCAACCTGAACCATCCGACGCGCCTCCTGTTGATGGGTTTGCCTACGGATTCTATCTATGGTCCGATGTGTTGGGAGGTCGCCCAATTTTCATAGACACCCACATTACAGTGGGCCATCAGAGTAGATGGCACAGACCCGAAGATATCCTAGACTCAGATGGGGATCCAGGGATTCATATAAACCACCGACAGTGGGGATTGTACCATCTACTCTCAATCCACAATCCACATGACTATTTTCTTCTAATGGATTGCATCAATCTACATCCAGTGGCCTTTAGGTTCCAGGTTGCTCTCTTCAGAGGTGCCACTGGTCGGAGCAAGTTGAACGGGGGGCCGAGAGAGGAGGGTTTGGGCGAAGCCAAGGCTTTGTCTTGGCAAGATACAGTTGGCAGATGCCGCAGTCCATGCCTCAGGAAAGAATGGATTGCTATCCATTGCGCCAGAAAGTGTGCAAACAGGGTGGGGGCTCAGGGACCGCAAGATACAAACAGGTCATGCCAAACTCCTAAACTCAGAGGATGGGAAGATGGACCTTTATCAGGAAAGAGTTGCTGCAGCTGGATTGATGCACATATCCATTTCTGACCCATTCTTTGCAAAGCTGCAAAGCGTGGACACACCGTTGCCCGAACCGAACCCTAACAGTTTTAGATAAGTGACTCTTGTTTCATATTGTTTCCTCATACCAGTATCCGTCATATCATTGGCAGCTTTTTCTAATTATATAATCGTCAATAATCAATTCATCGGCATCATCAGCCACTGACAGGATTCAGGGTCCAAAAAGCACGGACTGCCAGGCCTATCTGATCCTACAGGTGGCTGGGGCCATTCTAGGAATGCTTTTCGCCAGCAGTATCTTCCAGGCGCGGTTTTTGCTCGAGGATTTGTCTTATTTTGCTTTCAGAGCTTCTGTTTGGTCGACCATTTTGTCGAGACGTCGAGGTTCTTCACCTAGTAAGTCTCGGCCCTTCAAGGGTGGCTGAGATGCTTCGAACCACTTGGGCCTCGTGGCTTGAGTCGTCGGAGCGACGTCGAGGCCTTTTCCTGAAAAGAAATCCCTCCCGCGGGCACATCGAGCCGGCCTCCTTTGGTGCCCGTTTCCAGGTGAGCCCGCCTCCGGTGTCCAGCGCCGGGTCACTGAGATCCCAGCGAGCCCCGCGCGGACGGCCAGCGGACCGCGCGCCGAAAGCGCGGCGATGCTCGCGTGCCGAACCGAGGCTAGCCTTCATGGGGCGGATCTGGTGGTCGGAAGACACAGATCTGACAGACACAGCCGGACTGACACTTTTGAAAGGCGAAGATGATGTGTGACGGAACAGAAAGGCATGTCTTCACCACTGGGGTGCTGGGTCTTCGGCCGGCCGTGCGCTTTGTTATGTGATCGCCTATAACATCTATAAATAACTCCTCACAGAACATGTTTTATGGACCCCCCGTATATTCTCATAATGTTTAAAATTCTAGGATATATATATATATATATCGAGTCTTGCTAGGCAGGCACAATGCCGTGGAGACTTCACTTTCTTTTGGGCCCAGAAATGGCGTCGTTTCGATCCGATTCGTCGTTTCGTCAGGGGATCGCCTGAGAGGAGAGGTCGAAGGGGTCTTTCGATCGTTTGTTCCATCGGCTGAACTTCCTGGAAAATGGAGGCATTCCATGCTTTTCCGCGGGGGTCAGGATGAAGATACTTTGCCGAACACCAATCACAAGTGACTAAGGTGGAAGGAATCTTCGTGCTGATGTTGAATTTCGTTATCCTTTGCGCTGCCTGGCGGCATCAGAGCTTGTGTTTGTGCTCTGAATGGGAGCAGGTCCTGGAGCGAATTAGGGACGTTCGCTCCAATCATATCAAGCGAGTGAACAGTGAATTCTCTACTCCGTCTCATTCATTCAGAAAGGATCCAGTCATCCTGATGCAGCCATCGCAGGTGACGGGCAGACGAAACCATCCAGAGAGTGAGCCGAATCAGTTCTATGTGGCAGCCCCAGAGAGAGTGGACTAGACGAGCCCGAGCTACACCAGGGTAGTGGGTTGAGAACAACCCAAATCTACCAGCAACTTTAGCTACAGGTGATCCTAGTTGGTGGTTTCAGATCTTTTGATGTTCAACCATGTTGGCCTCCCTTGGGATCAAAAAACACCCCGTCGACTGTTCTTTTCAAGTCGAAACCACCAAAGATGTGAGTTTCCACCATTGGTGGCTCCGCCGCCCTTTTCCGAAAAGAAAGGGATCCCATGAAAAACCCTGAAAACCATGGGGTTTGGTAGAGAACCACCTGTCTTTCAGGGGTGCCCAAACGGGTCCATGTGTCGTTTTGGTTTTCTGAGAGTTCATCCCTCAGTCCATCTCGTCGCTCAGAGTGTGGCGGCGAGCGCTGCGCTGGCTGCGGGCCTGGGGTCAACCCAGTTGAAGGGTGGGGCTCGGGGGACCCAGTCGAACTCGGAGCATCAGCTGGAGAAGCGGACTGGAGGGGTGGGTTGGTGGGGGAAACTCAGAGGGGGGATTGGGAAGCGACTGTAGAGACTGGTGGTTTTTGGAGAGCGAGAGGGAAGCAGCAGTAGGAGTGATTGATGGTGGAAACTTCTGGGAAGCTTCTGGTTGAGAGGTCCTAGGTCTAGGTGGGGGAAAAGGTGTTGGATAACTGTTGGTTGATGATGTTGATGTAGACTAGTGACTAGTGGCTCTTCCAGCACTCACCAGAGCAACAAGATGAAGTGCCCTCACCGATTTGGCTCCAAATGTCGCACTCAGTGCCTCGGTGGTGTCAAGTTTTTCATACATGATGGCTCAGTTCCGCTCTCGGCCGCTGGGTCTTTGTGTGGGGATGCTCTTTTGGAGGCCTTGCGAAGTTTGCCTTGGGTGATACAGAACTTACTTTTGGGATACTTTGGGTGTTTTGGTCACTCTTAGGTGGAGGCCATCGCAAGTAGGTTGGAGGCCATCGCAACCGCTGTTCGTAACAGTTGGACGCTCATGTCCATAGGTGGAGGCCCATGTCATGACACCGACGGACGTCGGGTCCCCTGAGGCTCAGGACGTCGACGTTTTCATCGCCGCCCCTGCAGGTCCTCAATCCCGCCCTCACCATCGCCTTGAGACTCGCGGGCTTTGGAGGCTTCGAGGCCGAGGGCCGAGTCTGAGTTACCTTTCTTTTTTTTTTTTCCGGCGAAATGGGTGGTACGCTTTGTTCTGATTCATGTTTTGCACACCACATTAGAATATTAATATGGGCTTTCCGAAGATTTCAAGAAGCCCAACGAAAAAGAGAAACAAAAGGAACCGAAGAGCCGGGGGAACATCCAATCGGATGCCCAAACATGGGACTTCAACAGTGGGGTGCCTGCATGCAGCATACACCTGCCCAGGTGGCTTGCTTCAAACACCGTGTCAAAGCATTGAAGAGAGGGAGTTCCGAAGAGAATGGACACCCCTGCATACCCCTGCCCTTTTAGAACCGGTTCATATGTGATGCATGTTGCGCATGGCCGCTCCCCAGAATTCTGGAAGATGGGACAACCTACGGCACCCTGCTGGTGGTTTGGGGCACAAATCGGACACGTGACATGCCATGATGTTTTGAGCTTTTTCAGCTGTGACGATGTTGCTGCTTGCCGCATACCGCATCCGTGAAGAAAAAGACCGCCCTAAGAATCCGAACGGGCTCTCCATGGCAGGGGTCGGACCCGACACCTTCGCAAGGGTCTGGGCCCTCAAAACCCTATCTGTTTGGGGAGAAGATGTTACCAGTATTCAGCCGCTAGCGCATTTGCAGGCTGGCGTGGTGGGGTTGGTCATTGCCCAGGCGCGAATCAGCAGTGTGGCCAGCACGATTTTTCTGTCGCTGCATGTGGCACGTGTCGGCAGGCCGTGGTCCGATTGGGCTGAAAGAAGACACGTAGACGTATACCTTCGGTGGAAAGAAGACTGATCACTGATCACACGGATCACATCCGTTTGCCATAATTCAATATCTAATATTAATAAGTAAACAAATAAAATAAATAAATAAATATATATATATATATATTAGTCAATATGATAGTATATATATATATTATGAGATGTCTATAGATGGAGATAAAAATACATCTGTGAGGCCTCCGTTCGCTTGAACCACGCTCCCGACTCCGCGTCGACCCGGTTCTTCCCCGCCCGCAGCTGGTGGCCGCTCTGTTGGCGGCGGGGCTGGTTCAGCTCTTGAGCCGGGAAGCCAAGAGGGTGTGTTTTCACAGGGATGTTGAAAATATGGGGAGACCTCCCAGTTCGACCCCGTTATTGTTCCTGAGGAAGGGCATCAGGACGTTGATACTTTCCTTCTGGAAGCACAGGAAATAACAGGAGGAGGTACACTGCAAAGCAGTCTTCATAGAACATGCACCCTTGTCGTTCAGAAGGAAAGGAATGTTTTTCAAGGGCCTAGGTCGTAGGTTGCTTCAGCTTGGCTCCAGATTTCGCTTCTTGTTTTTCTCCTTCTGGGATCCTTGCTAAAAGAGTGCATCAAAGCCTTAAGCCCACTAAAGGATCTTGATGTGGCCTTGCCCGCTGCAACTCAAGTGCAACAATTGCATCATCGCTTTCAATCTTGGATCCCCCACAAGCCAATCATTCTCATGTGCAGGGCCGCTTGAGTGTGTTCGGAACGCTTTCAGGACCCGAAGAGCAGCTCAGCACTGAGAGCTTTCAGAACTACATTCCCAAGTTCGGGACCAGGCCAGAGATGGGTTGGTCTTCCGTGTGGATGCCAAGCAGGCAGTGGCAAGGAGGTGGACACGGGTGGCTCTGATGATGGTGCGTGAACACACATGAACACGGGTAAACCTTGAGCATAGACTACTAGGGATGTGGGAAGCCTGTCATCAATGAGCCCTCGTTTCCGCCATTTTGGAGCCAAATCCAAGACTCCGTTTTGGTCAGAGACTCCATGGTTTGGTGGCTGGGACTGCTCACTTCCATCTGAAAGCCTGTCAGTTCACAGGTTGGGCTCAGAATTGATCGGAACCACCTTCCTGATCTTGACCATCGGTGTGGACGCCCGGCACCACTCGGAGGCTGGAGGTTGCCTTAAGAAACTTGTCCATGTAGCATCTTGCTACTAGTAGTAGTATATCATGCCCTGTAGCTTCTTGCTAGTAATCTGGTAGAAATGCACTTAAATATAGCTACTAGTAGCATCTAGTAGCTTCTAGCGCTTCGTCCATCTTGTTTGTTTGTTCCATGCCCGGTCCAATGTCCTCATGTCCGGCCCCGTGGCGGCAGAACCGCCGACGAAGCTTGCTGTCGCTCGGCCGCGTGACACCACTTTCCGACCGAAATCGGTATGTGAGAGGAACTTTTTGCATCGAACTCATGATATATATATATATATTTAAATTAAGTGAAGTGAATAACAGGTGAACAGCGATATACTGTCATTTCATGAACAGAATTTCTTGGCTTGTTCGTTTGTCCGCTTGACACAAAGCGATACCAAAGCGATACCACTTTGATTAAAATGGTGTTTAGATGAGCGGGAGCTCCTTTTGTATCATTTTCTAATCCAAAGATGAAGAGCTCTAGACTCTAGACTCTAGAAAAAGAATCACTGGGGCAGTGAAGGGGGAAGGAGTGCTGATGTGTGAATACTCTCTCTCTCTCTCTATCTCTTTATTTTTTCTCCACTTCTACCCATATCAATGTAAAAAATTGACACAGGCATCCGAAACAGTATAAAGCGATATAGCGAACAACCAAAAGCCATACTATATGGAGTTCTGCTTTTGTGTGCATCGGTTTTTGCCGCTCATCGTTCGCCCCGTCGTCGCCCTCAACGCCGCCCGTGTCGTGCGGCCGGTCACCGGACGCGAGGTTTGAGTCTCCAGGATCAGCGACGCTGGTGGGCGCCAGCGTGCGCACTCGTGTGACCTGGCGAGAGGAGAACTTCTGGGCGACAGCGGAGTTGATCTTCATTACAATTTGGTTTCTTGGATCATGTCCGCAAAGTGTCCATGGTGTCGACATCCTGCACCACCTCCTCACCTCGACCCACCTGAACTCACATGTAGACACCATAACACACCTGTCTTCCCGTCCAAGGTGGTTCAGGATTTTTTTGATCATAGTCTCACGATGGCTATCACCAATTTGGCATCTCGAACTTTTGCGTATCTTATGAACGTAAATTTTGCCTCATCCCACCACCAGCTGACTCTGTTTGGAGTTTCAGAAGTCTCTGGCCAAGCGGCACCTCCAAGGGGCTTGGTTTACGCACTGGGCGACCTGAGTGGAGGTGGGAGGGGCGCCCGAGCGAGCGACGAGGCAGACGCAGGCAGTTGACTGGGGGACTCTGAGCAGCACGGAAGACAGTAGATCCTCGCAGCCAACAGACCTTGGGGGTTTTGAGTTGAAGATTTGCACTGAACAAAGCAGCGAAGCAGCGGAAGTGGAATAAGGCTCTAGTTCGTTCAGGAAGGCTCTGGCCCCTTTAGTTTAACAGCTAGCTTTGGCCCTCAGCCCCAGAAAGGTCCAAGTTCAATCAAGTTTCCTCTAATCAATTTCCCGGCCGACACCGCATACAAAGTTCTTCTGAACCGCCTCGAGAGAGGGTTTGTCTCTAGGACACTTCAACCCTGCAGTGACCACGGCTGTGGTACAGGCCTTAAAGGAAAAGAACGTCACTTGCTGACTTCTCAGGCATTGCAAGTAAGCAGGGAGTCAGCAAGTAAGCAGCATGCTCGCCACTTCGAAAGATCAACACTTGTACGGACAAGATGTGGCCGAAAACGAGCGTGTGTAGCAGTGGCTACGAACGACTCGTGCGGCACGGCGTGTACGGCATCATTTCTGATTTCTGGGACCGAGCCAAAACCATGTCAAAGGATGTTAATGGATGAAACTACTTCAATGCAACATGGTCTCTTTTGCAATAGATCTCAAATCCAAATACCTCTCAATATCTCAGGTCAACGGTTAACAGATCATGCGACTGACCACAGGTTTCGTTGTGCTTACCACGTGCTTCGCCTTGATTTTTTGTCCTTTCATTTGTTCCTTTCGTTGACCGCGGATGCGGCGTTCTGACCGAGGTCTTGTCGCGCACGCGGATGCTGACCACCAGCGACTTGCTGGGCTTTTGGGCCTCACAGGTGAGCAGGGTCGGGTCAAACACGGTGGAGGAACACACGGTCATGGCATCTTTTTAAATGTCAAAAATTGACGTTCCTGGCATCTTTTAAAGGTCCCCCAAAAAGGCTTTCATGCCTCCCTCCCCACCTCACTATTGATGGTGGTCCTTTTCAGATGGTTCCCTCGGTGCTTGGACAGAGCTTTCGCCATCACTGCCGGCTTCGCCTCACTCCTCGCTTGGCGTGGGAACTGGCAGCTCTCCACTGAGAGAAGGTCCTGCCCCGGTCCAGGTGCTCGGCTCAGTGCTGGCGACCCTCGCTTTGATGGCTTTGGTGCCGCACTTCCAGTGGGACCTCAGCCCCCAGGCGGGACGGTGGTAGGTTTTGGGGTGGGAGCAACAGAATATATGAGTGATGAGCATGCAGCTATGCCTCGAAGCTGGTGAGACAAGATATGCTTTGGGCGTCCTCAAGCACATTTGGACTTTTTGATTGCAGCTGCACCAAAAGTTGGAGCAATCGCTGGGAATGCAAAGGCTCAGCAAAGAACCAAAGAAGTCTTAGACGGATGCCCTATGTTTTGACAGAACAAAATATTAATATCCGATCGACTGGAAGGAATCGCGATTGACAGCAGGATTTTGAGACAGCCTGCCCATGAACGGCTTTTGTTACCCCTGTAGGGCGTGGCCTCAAACTTGAGGGACGATGATATATTTGTTGGTTCTCAAGAAAAGATGTGAGTTCAGGATGCAAGCACATGGGCACACCAGCTCCGAGCTAGGGTCACTCCGGCCAGCAGCGGCAAGTGGACCATGTTGTTTTAGTTCTTATTTCTCTAGAGGAACCGTCTTTTGTCCGAGGCCAACATTTTTGCACCCTCTCCAAAAACATATCCTGAATTTTCTGAAGGAGAGGGTTTGTGATGACATCGTCATGGATGGGCGATTAGGCCCTGATCTGACTGGGGTCGGCTGGCGCAGGCACCTTTCCAAGCCGGTGCGGCATACATCATGGAGAACACCTGGCTTGTGCTTCTCTGCGTCTGAGTCACACACCACAGACTGCTGCACCAAAAATCGTTGATCCACGATCAACATTCCCACGTCCTCTCAAACCTCTATCATGAGTGCTGGTCCAAGAGAGGGCCGTCATGTCATCATGTGAAATTCGATGAACGGTGTGTGTTTGCAGCCGAAGATGCAGCCGATGGGCCAGGTTCACCTTCTGCATCGTGCTCTGCCTGGCAGTTCTTTCGGCCTCCTGCATCAAGGCGGGTCCCCCCTGACCAGTTAGCTTGAATTGAGCTTGAAGTCTGGACACCTAAAACTGCAAGTCGCCACGGCATCTTGGGGGGCATCAATCACTCTCCCATTCTTGGTTCCTATACTATTATACAGTATCGTTTCTCCAAGGCGCACTCCCCGGTCCCATTCTTGCACCATGTCACTATGTCCCCAAATGAATGCCCCCCCCGTAGCAGGACACACCCAAGGATGGACCCCACAGAAAGGAATGCCCGACCGGTCACCGGGCTGTCACCGTTGGTCAGTAGGAGAGGTCCGACATCGATCAAACCGTCCAACTGACGTGTTCAAACCGTCCAACCGACGTGCGCGACGGTACGGGGCGGTGCCGACGACCAGGGCATTGCGAGCGACTTCAGCAGGTGACGGGGGCACTTCGGTCGTCCGGTGACCGACCGAGGTCAAACAAGAAAGGTCGGCGACGGGAGCGTGGACATGGCACGAAAGCATCTAAAATCATCTACATAATCTAAAAAGTGACTCCTTATCTCCTTCATCAATGTCTTGAAGGGTTGAAGAGTGAGGCGCTGGCTCTTGGGTTGGATGGAAGATTTGGAATATGAGAAGCACCATATCCACCGAGTACCCACCCAATGCATGTGCTTCAGAAGCAGCTCGTAAGGCCTAGTGCCCGTCCTTTGAGGATTCAAGGCAACTTGTATCCATGTATATATAGGTATATATGTTTGTATATATATATATATGGATATGATATGCATATGTCTATGCATGTAATATATTCCTAGCAGTGTCCTAGCATAGTTACAGTAGTTCGGACTTCTGTGGGCCGAGTTCGGGCCTCTTCTGCCAGGAACTTCTACTTCGGCTTGGCCGTAGGTGTGGCCCTGCTGGCAGGTAGCCTGAGCTGTGGCAGAATATCTGGTGCATGTCCCTTGGACCACACTTGGAGGGATGGGTCGGGAGAGTCTTATCATGCAGCTACACATCCGTTCGCCCCCAGAGTCGATTCCGGAATCATAATCAGCAGCACAGCGTTCTACAGATAGGTTCTTTGTCCATGTCCCCAGCACAGCGACCTGGTGGAAGAAATAGTCAAGCTGGAGGCCATTGCTATTAGGCTGGAGGCCATCGCTATTAGGCTGGAGGCCATCGCTACTAGGCTGGAGGCCCTTGCTATCAGGCTGGAGGCCATCGCCATTAGGCTGGAGGCCATCGCTCTTGGGCTGGAGGCCATGGCTATTAGGCTGGAGGCCCTCGCTATTAGGTTGGAGGCCATCGCTATTAGGCTGGAGGCCATCGCT